TGGTTGACGTATAGCTTTAAATATATCGGGTGTAGTAAAGATGTTTCATTAAACCTATAATTAAATTTTAAATGTGAAAGAACAAAGATGTCAAAATTTACGTTATTATTATAAACTTTTCTATCACTTAACTTCTTATGTAATGTTAAACACACACACAAATTGAAGAGGATCTGTATTATAAATCAAAATGCTTTGTCACCAATAGAAATATTTTATATAACTCCAACAACTAAACATACAATAAATAAAATATATCATATCACAAAAATTAGAATATAAAGTATTTTCATGCTTAAACAAGAATAATTACAATCCTGACCACAAAATTCCATTACTTGGCAATGTGTTAAATGCAATGATTATTAAAAAAAACAACAACAATAACAACAACAACATCAGAAATAGATCATTTAATAAAGTGAATATTAATGAAATTTGCAGATAATATAAAAATAAGTAAGTTTGAGAGGTTGTCCATAAATCGTGTAATGCTATTTTTATATTTTTCTAACTACCCCTAATTCTCTGTAATGCTGTCACATAAACCCTTCCCAAAATTATATAATGCATATCTAGGTCGACTATAATTTCTTGGTACCGAAACGGGATGGAGGAGCTGCAGCTGATAAATTAAAGCTCTCATTAAAAATTCCATCAAGAAATTCAGATGGGCATTATTAACAATTTCATTTTCAAAACTCTAATGAAAAAATAATATTTTTATAACCACATGATATCAAATTTAATAGTTAAGTTGATGTAGAAGGTTTACTATAGAGTCAAACCAAGCATATTTTTCAACAAACTTATTTTATTTATATCATTTTGTTTAAATTCTGGTCGTCGTAATTTTATCATAAACCTTATTGCATTATAAGTCGCAGGCTTGCTTTATAATTAGCATTGTTTTTGTGGCTTCGGTAATTAATTTAAAATTTTCTTTTGACCACAGGAAATTCGCAAGTAAAAATATTCTTACTATATCTAACTCCATTTTCGAGATTAAGGAAGAACAGATGGACGAATGAAGGCAGGATAATAGGTCTATATTTTTTTTTCAAATTGCAGCCCAACAACAGAACTAAAATGTTGGGATGGCTGGGATAGAACAAATAAAGTTCTCAACTGTTCAAAGTGGTAGGTATGGTCATCCTACACATATCCTTGATTGACTCCCTTAATTGGACTAAAGAATAATACACAGAATGTAGTACTGAATGTTACATTTTATTAATTGCACGTGTAATGCACAATCAGTGACAAACATCTATGCAACACTTCAGAAACAAATATGAGGTTACCTGAGGATTGAGACCTTAGTATTGCATAATGTTTTTGTAAACACCCCCTACTCTCTTGTAATGCATCGTAACAATTACCTGCATGCCCACTCACCCAGGTCTGTGTTACGTAATTTACGGACGGCCCCTAAGAGGAAACAAATATATCACACAAAATAGTCAAGTTTAATATTTATTATTATTTTCATTCTAAATTTTATAATATAAATAAACATGGCTTCATTTTTTTCTTCTTTGTTTAGACTATCATTATATTTAAATTTAGTCTTAGAAAATCTATAATTCTATGGTTTAAATTGTACATTGAAATATCATTATGCATGCAAAATGTTTCTCAATGCACAATACTACAGAAGAAAATGAGAAAAAATTCAGAATAAAGTTAGTTTTTAGTTCTGATTCTGAAAAACACAGATCACATATGACAGACATAGACGGAAGGATAATACATAGTTGAAGATAGTGGAAACATCTCCACGTCATGAAATATCAAAGAAACATCTGTACATGTAAGTGAAATCACACGTGTAATTGATTCTTTGATTTATGCCGGTTATCTGAATTTATATTTCTTTTGATTCTTTCTTAAAATCAAATAAATAGTAAACAACTCTAGAACTAATGGTAGACTTAATAACTATAGAAGCATTACTAATAATTAATACTTAATTACTTCCTGATTTTTAGTTAAGACACTTCGTAATAAATCCATGCACCCAGTAATATATTAGACAATATGCAAACATCAAATGATTTATAAATTTAACATTGGATTTAAAAATAAATATCTTTTAAATTGTAAGACTTAACAGAGAGTAAGACTGCCATAACAAGAGTTTAATTTATCATCTAGAGACTTTAAAAGATAAAGTTTTCCATTTCTTAACATACACTGTATCATAACATAATATAAAAAAGTTCTTTGAATACCGATCAAATATTAATAAAAATAAAGAATATGAACTAACGAAAAAAAAAAAATCAAATATAAGAGTTTTATTTCACAATTCTGTATAAAACATCATGATTACTGGAAATACATCACGATAAGTATTTCTTTTAGAGGAATTATATTTTTTAAATGTGTTTCTTCTAAAGTATTGTTTTTCTCATAATTTGTAAAAAAAACTATACAAAATGAATATCAGAAATGTTAAATTAAATTTGATCTGGAATAGATAAAAATAAATAAACTAGACCAAAGGTGTTGAACCTACGGAATGCTTGACCTAAGTGGCGTGTCGTGAGACATCAACTGGCACGTAATGCATCATGTAATTTCAGTTTATTGGCTGATCATTTTTTTTTTGAAACAGCCTCTTTACATTTATTCTAATTAAAAGGCATTCATTTCATTTATTCAAATAGTGTTATACAAAGTCTAAAACTTAAAGACAAGTATGCATACTATAAGGCATGCAGACACAAAAAGGTTCACTAATCCCTGCACTAGACTCTTGTTGATCTGGCTGTTTCTTTATAGAAGGATGCTAGATTAGAGTGCACTGGATTACCAAGAGTGTATAAGCCTAAAGGCAATGAATGAATATGATCCGTCGTCCTTTGGTACCAATCCTTTTGGAAACATGCGGAAAATAATATGGTATGCCTACTGGCAATACCATACAGAGAAATGAAATTCAAATAAATGGGAAACAGGTCTAACATTTTAATGAAAACAAACACATAGGAAATCACTCGGAGGGATATGCCAGATAATCATAGGCCAGATTAGCAAGAGTGAACTATATATCAAAAGATAAACATTGAAGAAACGAAAATCCAAAATTTAAAATAAGTCAATGAATGGATCAGAGTATTTCTCAACTAAATTTTTCAATAATTAATATCTAAAGAGAGCAATAAAAATACTTTGTATTTCTGAAGTGTAATTTTTAAATCACAAATTAACATATGTTTCTGTATTAAACTGGAATAAAGGAAAAGAAAAATACATCTGAAGCACTTGACAAACTTTAAATATTCAACCTGCCTTTATATTAAGAAATTATCTCACTATCTCAAAACAATACAAATAAAGTACATAACTGTTTGACTGATATTCCCTTCAATTTATTATGGATCCAAATACTTATATATATTTCCTGATTTTAATAATCTATTTTATATATTTTTATTGCCTTAAGTTATATACTTTATAAAATAAATTATGTTATTTGTAATAATTTACAGTTTTTTTATTATTATTGTGTATATATTTAATAGTTTATAGTTAAATAATTCCTTTATTATATAAACTTTTTATAANAAATTAAAAAATAAAATTTTTTAAAACCATAAAATATAAAACTTAACATTAAAAGAATATAAAAATAAGAAAATTATTGTAAATATATATAATAATAAGTACATAATTGGTTAAAATAAATATAAATAATAAATTAATAAAAACAAATTTTAATTATTTGATGCAGCATTACCTTACCAATAACAATTTGGAAATATTTTAATAAATTGAATAAAATGTTTAATGTTCTAATTATTTATTTAACAGATTGTACTATTGATAAATCATCAATTGTTTAAAGTATTTGCATATTTTGCATAAATATTTTATAAAAAAAATATATATTTTTAATTTCAATTATTATTAATGTTAAACCTTTCCATTTTTTACACGAATAATATTCTTATACATTAATACTGTACAAAAATTGCATAAATATTCAAAATATCGTCCTTAAGGGAGATACAATATAAAAGTTTCACTGTATTAAATTTCTTGTTTGTTCTTATAAATAAATTTTTCGCTTCTGTTGTTTGGGACGTGTAATATAAGCAAATGTATTAATACATTTACATATGTTAATGAACAACAGATTTACCATTTATTATAAAAAGAATAACTATTATATTATTATCTTAAAGATTAAGTATTTTAATCGAGAATTGTTTCTTATCTATAACGGATACTGTGCAAAACATTTAGAATAATTTTTTCTAAATAACATCTGTTTTCTTTTCTTATTAACATTCTATATGGCACAAGTGATTTAAGCATATCACCAAATCTGGAAAATATACCTTTGTTACCCATTAAAAAGAAATGTGAAGAATGGAGAAGTCAGTTTTAACAGAAATAGTCCAACGATTTCCACTAACAGTGAAAAATGAGGAAGAGAGATAGACGAAGTAGAACTGCAATCTGTTGTATCTTCCTGAAATATCACGTAAACGAAATAATTAATAATAAAAAATAAAATAGTTTTGATTTTTAATATTCATTATGAAATTTAGGATAATTTACTAATTGACATTTGAATTAAAGAAAAGTATATTAAATTTTAACTAATAAAACTAATCGATAAATGCTTTATCGATTTATTAATCTTTTATCTTTTAAACTAGATAAATGCTTTATCTAGTTTAAAAGATAAATAACAAAGAATCTTAAAGGAGTTGTGAATTCTTTGGATATGATATCAACAAATTACACACTATAAATTGTGGATAGTTTAACACTACATAATATATGTCTGTTATCGTCCTTAGTATAAATTAAAATGTATTTTAATAAATTCGATTTTAGACTGGTTTCAGTTAATTTAATTTTCTTTAAAACTTCTAACGAACATTATTTTTAATTTTTTTATTTGTTTAAATAATACAAAATAATGCAATTTATAGCAAAAGAGAAAATAAAAGGAAAAAATATAATGCTACAATGAAAGAAAACTATAAAATGATCATTAAATATTACAGCATTATAAAATAAATATTTATATAATAACACAATATAGCAGCAGTTCCCAAAGTGTGTGTTGCGGCTTCCTTACAGGTGTGCCACAAAATGTTATAAAATTTTTATAATGTTAGAATTTGACATAGGTGCCTTAGGAAAATCTGCATTTATCAAGGGTGCCTAGAATCAAAAAAGTTTGGAAACCACTGCAATATACAGCACTGTCCAGGTGATGATAACTTTACAATGAATATATCAGTAAACTGAGCAAATATTGAAATCTATTCATATGTGAATAAGTATACAAAATTGAGTTTGTCACATTCAATATCTATAATTTAATATAGAATATCCAATATTTGCTTTTTCTTTCTGTAAATAACATTTAAAAAAATCAAATAATTTTATCTTGTTATATCATCTCAGGAAATTTAATAAGATGTAGTAAATTATGTGTAACTGCCAGAGTTTATGAAAATTAGTGGAGACATACATATCAATTAGTAGATAACAATTCCAATTATTTGAAATTGGGTGTTAAAAATCACATAAATATGCAAATCAACAAATTTAATCAGGCTTGTAGTTACTTTTGCTTATGACATGTAAACTTCAAGAACATTGAAATTTAAAATAACTTTCTTTTTACAGAGGCAATTGATGGCAATTGCAAAAAATTAATAAATAGGAGACTGAGAGACAAAGTACACATAAAAATACTGTTAAGTTTCAAAGTGACCTTTGAACTCATGTTGAGGATAGTGACAAAAGAAGCACACACAACCACCTTTTGATTAACAAAAATGATTTAATAAAATAAAACCATCACTAGTGATATAAGCCAATCCAATAATTATATTAATTAAATTATCAACAACCATGAGGCAGATGAAGAACTATTTTCTATCAGAAAATAGTCCGAAGTGCATTTTGGGTTTTTTTGTTTCCATACTTGTGTAGTCATTCTTGTGTTCATTAAACGTTTTCACTTTGATTCCGGAGCGTTTGTGCCTATCATTGGTATGATAAGCCCTCACTATTATCTGCCTCACGATTGTTGATAATTTAATTAATATACAGTAATTATACCAAGGGCTAGAAGCAAACTTTTGTAATAATTTCCAATCCAGTAAGTTACAAATTGAATTTGCACACGTCATGACAGCTGTAGACTACTATAACTAATTAAAATAAACACCCAAAGATCAAATTAAACTAAATTACAATAGTGGGACTAATAATAACCATGTTACAATTATTTCTAAAACTCCTGAACTAAATATACAAACAATATCTTGCGAGTAGGTGGCCAAACAATTCAAGTCTCAGCTTTACAGATCCTCAAGCTTTAGTGAAGCTTCTTACATCTCCTCGCACACATCTTTCTCTTGGCCCAGTGCCACTTTCACTTGAGCTCGGGGATATCTTTCACGGTTTGTCCACCTCAGTCCTCCTGGGTTCTTAGCTTCCATCCTCATCCAAGACTCAACCCAAACTGAGTTTCCTGTTCAAACTCCTCATGTATTTTCTTCCCATTGTTCAGACTAGTTCCCATCAGCAGGAGTACTTACCTCAACACTAAACAAGAGAAAATGAATACAAACAACAGAATAATGCCAGACAAAGAGTGGAAAGTGTATAAAATGGTGTGGGCAAAGAAAAAAAAAACATGGCAAACCTCCACAATACAAATAAAAAAAACTAAGTTATAACATGTTACACAAACAAATAGACATAGAGAACAGTTCTAAAAACACACAAGTATAAGAAGAAATTACAAGTTGGTTGGTGTGATAGTTTGACCATACCAAGTGTTAACAAATGGTTGCAAATGTCAGCCAATGATCAGAAAAAGATAAAATGGGAGTGTTGATTGGTCACAGTCTGCAAATAAAGAGTGACTCCCAGAAAAAGGTTTTATCATCATCTCTACTAGTTAGTAAACATTGCAAATCATCCCAAACAGGTCTGTAGTGCTCAAGAAGTATAAATCTGACAAGATTGCTTATGAATTGCTGTAGATAATGGATGCTTTATGTTCCTTCAAACAAGCTTTGAGCATTCTAATTGAGGCCTCACAAAGTTATTTGTTAAAATGCAAGTTTTCAGATATTAAGGTGACAGTGTATATGCATAGGAGAGTTTATGTATGTAAGATTAAAAAGATAAATACATATACTGTATTTCCTTAATTAAACCCCAAGGAGATTTATTTTTGAAACATACTCAACTCTGAGTTTCTGAAGTCCTGGGATTTTTTATCTTACAAAAAAAGAAAAGTGAGTAAGAAGTGAAAAATATCTTAATTATTTGTTTATTTTCAGAAGTATCAAAACCATTTTTATTGATTTTATTTATGGGTTACAGCTATGAGCATCAAAACAAAATTTTCCAGAAAGCAAAACTAGAAGACAAATAATTACATCAATAAATTTTTATTTATTTATTTAATTTTTGGGGTTATTTTCTCACAAGTGAACTATAGAATACAATATTGCATCAGAATTTCCCATAGCTGAGACTGTAAGGTTACATATTCAGTCACTTTTATGAATATAATTTGTAAAATTTTTTACTTGATCCCAAGGAGGGACAAGTGCCCTGTTTGTCCCCCTCTGCAGATTTGATATAATTGTTATTTTCATAGTTAATCCAATTCAGTGCCTTTTGATTTGGTTGTTACATTATCATTTGTGTTTGTTTCCATGTCATTATTGATATCAGGATCTTGTCTACAATTTTTCTGGTTCAAACTCAACATCTCCAATTTGAATTTTCCTAATTACTCTACAGTTGATAACCTCTCAACTTATGAACTCAACACAACTTACCTATGCTCAATATTTGACAATATAATTTTATTTCCAAAAATCCTTCTCTGAACTTCGGAATAGAATATACTGTCCAACTAGATAATTTGAAGAGGTAGAATTTTAGTTAAACTTCTTACCTATCACTCTAATCTATTAACACATTATCTTATACTTTGCAGTAAGGATACTTCAACATGTTTCCCCATGCTTTTCAATTTGGGTTTATTTTTAATAGTACCTTTATTCGTTTTTTCTTCACTACTAGGTGCATTAATAGACACAAGGCATTTTACATCATTTTTATTGTACAAACAGTACCTTTATTCCCTGAGGTTTAATCAAGGAAATATGATATATAAAATGTTCTTTGTTTTTTCTCCTGATATGAAATAGGAAGATATTAGCAAAATTTTAATAAAAAATTTCTAAATTTACCTTCAACAGGAGCATATAATGGTCTTGGCACAGGTTCACACTTTAAAGGTGCGCATGATGGTGATGCTACTATTAAAACTAAATTACTGTTTCCAACATGAGTTACTACATAATACCTATAGAAGAAGATTTATTTAGTTTTATTAGTGAAAAATTTTTCAATTCAAACAACAAATTTATTATTTATTTACCTGGTACAGTTATTACATATAATTGTGTCTTTCAAATTAGTTTTGTCTATATTCAAATAATAACGAGCCTGCTTTGTGATGCATGAATAATATTTTGTTGATAGTCCAAACAGTGGCATAGATGATGTTTGTGGCCACACTAATGACATTACTAAGCTAATTAAATATAAGAAAAGGAAATAAATGCTATAATTAGAGAAGTACACAAAGCACAAGTCAAGAAAAAGAAATTTTCTTATTCGGTTAGTTTCTTTAACAGTAACGGTTAATTTTTTATTGTANTATAAATTTGTGATTTTTATTTTATAAAATACAAAATTGCTTGTTGCTGAAACTGGAAATTGTAGATTCAAAATATTTATTTTTCTTTTCTACTTTATCTGTTTCCAATGTAATAAACTAAAAATCGATTTTCAATGCAGAAGAAAGACTCTTCCAAATCAATTTAAATAGATATACTTTGATCCTGTAAGGGAACGTAAAATATCTGCAATTTTTACAAATTATTTTCAAGAAAATTCAAATTTTTAATTGCGTATTTTTTAAATAAAATATAATTAACGTTATTCGTTGATTTTTTTTCCCTTATAATTTTTCTGATGGCACCAGAAAAATTAGCAGTTTAAATATGAATAAGAACTAACTTAATAAATGCTACCTTGTAAAATATTCAGTTAACATGGAATGTAAAAAAATAAAATATTTATGTAATTTTGAAATAATATACTATAGTATACTGTGTAGTAAATACATAGAATTATTAAAAGTCAAATAGAAATTGTCAAAAATAAAAAATGTGTGTATTGATAGAGATTTATTTATTATGTATTTGACTTACCTATAAATCCACAATCTCAATTTTTCCCTGTTGAAACATGAAATATATGAATGTATTTAACAAGAAAAGATAATAAAATTTTATATGAAGTATTTCATTTACGTTTATAATTTTGATTTACAAATGTAACAGTAAAATTAAAAAACAATTTTACACAAATGTAAATACTACAGGTATGAACAAATTTTTACCTCTTTGATCAGATTTACATTAATAATATAAATGTAAGGTGTCATGAAACAATGGCATATGAACAGCATTTTTGACATAGAAATAGTAATTCAAACCAAAGCAAAATGATTCAGAATTAAAAAAATACATATAAAAATGTATAGAAATATTTTCTTGATGTCTTTACATTCAAGATATAAAATACCGAAAACTTTGAAATGTCGCTCATAATAACTGATTATTAAAAGTATGCTATAAGAAGAATTAGAACTCAATTAAACTTGGAATTCTGAAAAGAGTTGTGAGATTAGAGAGAGAATTATATTTTAAATATCCCAAATTTAATTTTTTTTTAAGATTTTTCAGTATTAAAGCTATCTTCTTTAGAATAAAACTGATACAATTTATTATCCATAAATTGTATTATTTTTATTCCTAAAAACATTAATGTATATTTATTGGATGTTATAGTTTTTTAATTTCTTAATTAGTTACTTTTCTAACTATTTAAAAGGGATTTTTGGATGAATAAACTAAAATTGCCACATCCTTCAAATTTGATTTTCACCAGAGTTCAAGAATTATTCAGAAACCAATAATTCATATGTTTTAATCAGAATTTATTAAACACATTTGTATATTGTATTCTGAAGTAGTAGTTTGTTAGAAAAAGTTTCTCCTACGTTGATAAGAGTCATAGATCTGAATGGATACTACTGAGGAAGAAATTACATGAAATATAGCTTACAGAATAATTTCAACAAATTTAATGAACATATTACACAAAGAAAAACTGATAAAATTTGACAATTTGATCAACAGGTGCTAATAAAGACAATAAAAACCAAACAATTGAAGTTGAATGGAGAAGAAAAAAAGCAATATAGCTGACAGTTGGGTCAAAATATTTAATAAAATGCACAAAAAAAGAATCTTGAATTCCAAGATTTTAATAATTTAATAGAATTATTCATTGATTTCCAAGGAACTACAACTTTTGTAGAAAGAATATTTTCATTCATGAACTTTCTATGATCAAAAGAGAAGTGAAAATTAAATACAGTAATACCCCGAACTTATGCGATAGGTGGGACCGAGCGGTAACCGCGTAAGTCGAATTCGCATAAGTCGGGGTATAATTTCGCATATAAATACATACAAATAATTTTTAATTGGGGCCGGAGACTAAAGAAAACAATAATTTAGAAAAAAATGTTTAATAAAATCTTAGATAATACATATGTATAACAAATTAGGCCTATATTATTTTACAATTTTTCACATTTACTTGATTATTTTGCCATAATTTTAACATTGTTTCCATCTCAGCGATAATACCGTGACATTTACGAATGATGCTTGAATTTAAAGATTGAGCATTTTTCACAGCTTCGAGAATTTTTTCTTTGCCTTTTATAATTGTTCTGACCGACAATTCCGGTAGATCAAACTTCTTTGCCAATTCACAAATTTTCATTTTTGTATTGAAGTCTTTAATAATGGATACGTTCGTAAAGTCAAACGAGTTAAATGCGTTAGTAACAAATTGTTCGAAAAGTCTAACAAAATAGGAATAACGATGACGTCATTCTCGTTTAACTCATTCGACTTTACAAACATACCCAATGTTAACTTTACATTCCAAAGATAAAGTTTTTCTTTTCTTGTTTGATGCAGAAGAATTAGTTCTACTTCATTTGGATAACATAGTAGAGTCTCTTGAGTCTTTGTAGATATAACAAACACAGAATTAAATAACACAAAATAAATTGTAGCTATGTGTGGATTCCGCACGACACATCGGAACATGTAAGCTGAACAATGGTGTGAGGGGAGTGAGTAATCAAGGGTTGCGTGGAGCTCAAACAAAAGGTGAATCAACAAGATTTGAAAATCGCATAGCTCTGGGTTCACGTAAGTCGGGGTATTACTGTACTAAAGCCATGAATACAATGCTACTTATAAAGCAAAACTATGATTCACAATGCAATAAATTTTATGATAAAATTATAAGTGACCAGAACTTAAAATTTCCTATGAGAAATTTGCCATAATTAAACCATAAATTTTGACAGAAATTACTTATGTAAAATGAGAACAAAAATTTTTTAAATTCAAATTTGTGCTATAACATAAATTCTTATTATATAGGTTATTGATGAATGGCTAGAAATTTATTTTTATCAATATGATATATGATGTCAATTCTATTCTAATTATTTTAAATTTGTTAAATACATTAGCACATTTAAAATTATATAAATTTATATTATTTAATAACTAATATAAATAGAATCTAATAACTGTAATCACTTTTTAAACATACTGATAACATTAAGCATAGTTGTATATAAAAGTATAATTAGTAGTAGAAATTCTAGTTTTATTGGCTATGACATTAAAAAACAAGTTAAAACAATTCAAAATACATATTAACTTAAAAATTTATTAATTACAATCAGATCTGTCAAGAGGAAGAATTGGGAATTTTTCCCTTGACCTAAAAGAAAATTTAGGAATCCATAGTGGTTCCTACCCCTATAAATTAATGTTAGTTTTATCAACAAATATAAAATCTTTATTAATTTTTTTATTAATAAAGAAACATTCTACATACTTCATTTATTCAAAAAAGAAAAAATCCCATACAACCTTTCGATGGCCCTGATTACAATTATTATTATTAGAATAATTATGTTATTATAATTATTATTAACTTACATATTTTAGAACACATTAATTTTGATAACATTAACATGTTAACCACCATCCGACGTGCTGGCGATCATACTAATTAGGGCCGTACAGAGCCATCCGATCACACAACATTGCTATAACTAATGTAGTTTCACTCAAATTTAAATTATCCTGGCTTCGTAAGATGTTGTTTTACATCCTAGTGGTGGCCTCTTACACACATCTATAAAGTTAGCTCTGACCAACAGCTGTCTTATGGCTCTGAATGGCCCTAATTAGTACGCTTGCCAGTGCATTGGATGGCAGTTAACGTGTTAAATAACTAATAACAATGTCCACAATTACAATATGTGGATTCTACTGTATTTATATAAATACAGTAGAAAGTTAAGCCTGATTATTTCATCAAATTTAAATGTTAAACGTATACTGAAAAATATTTCCATTATATCAGTTAATTAATGTTCAAAATACAAATATTAAAAAGAAAAATTGATGCAAAAACAACTTACCATGCTGTTAAATCAAGAAGCCAACCCAAATTGAAAGATTGCATTAATCCTTGAAATGGCTGTTTAGAACAGAATACAATTATTTTAATAATTTATATCTTTAAACTGAAAGAATTTTTTAAAATTATGAAAATCAATTATTATATGATGTTAAAAATTTAGTTATTTTTATATTTAATCATAGTTTCCCCCCTTTTTTTGTACCACAGTGAATATTTTCGGTTGTTTTTTTGTTGTGAGATTATACTTAACGATTCTGTCTGAGTATCTTCAGAAATTGTATGTAAAAGATCAAAAACGAGGAGTGTCAGATTCTATAAAAGAATCCTGTAAAGAAAATAAACACAGGTGAAGAAAGAACATAGGTGCATGTTATATGCGCTTGTTGGATTACACTCACCGTGTGCATATCGTACACTATACAAGATAGGATAAGAGATCAAAGAGATGGCTTGTCAGGTTGGGATCAAGAGAAAAACAATAAAGAGAATAGTCAACAAATGGAAAACATGATCATGTGAAGAGCAAATTTGTCATCATTGAATACATGGCAACCCTTTGCAACATCTACAGTAAAATCAGGATTGAAATTAGAAAGAAAATCATATTTAAGAGAAACCCCACAATATACGGGATGCTAAGGAGCAACAAGAAGCCAGTGATCCGACATGTATACCTGGCATGTACAGAATACCAAAAAAAAAACAGTAGAAGGCATAATAACTTATGTTACATAGAAGCCACTGTAAGATCATTAGAACAGAGGATAAAAGAAACCTAAAGATAACAGATATCTGAAAAGAGCAGCTGGTTACAGCTTTAGCGACTTATGCTGTAGCAGACCCAGATTCTGTAATGATAGAATGGAACCAAGCAGAAATGATCCAAAAGGCAAGATAAACAACACATTAAATATGCAGAAGCATGGCACATTCGTAAGGCTACATAGAGGGGCAGGCAGTAAATTGTAGAGAAAACACCAAGTTTCAACAGCCTGGAGAGTATTGATAAATAAAACTTAAAAGCAAGCTATGTAAGAGGAGTTGAAGGATGGACAGAACTTAGATTACATAGTTGTGATTAATTTGGCAGGTGCAAGATAAAAATATGAAAAGTATAATTTATAGTGTTTCTATGCATTCGTTATTTCACTGTGTATAAAATACATGTTATATATTTTGATTTTTGTCACAAATCATATGATACTAGTTGCAATATGTAAAAATCTGATATGCACTTTTTAAAAATTAGTATTATTTCAAAAATGGAATGTTGTAAAAATCGTCTTTAGAATATGGACAGCTTTGTTCTTTCTTGCTAAATTATATATTGTATATATTTCCTGATGAAAGTCAATGAAAATGACCAAAAACGATTGATTAGTAAATATTTTAGGGCAGTGTTTCTTGACAGGGGGCTGCAGCTCCCTGGGGGTCCATAAGAAGTTTGCCGGGGCCACCAAATTATGCAAAATTTATGCACATTTGTGTGAAAAAGGGTTCTCAACTATGGTGGATATAGAAATAAAAAAATGCAATTAATTGCAATTAGATGCCTGCATGCAGATAACATTACAAACAATTGAACCAAGAATTAACAAATTAGTTGACAATATTCTGTAGCAGAAATCTCATTAAATTATTTTTGAATATTTTTTTGTTTTTTCTGTGAATTTTTAAATATTAATTTTTAACAAAAAATAAGAAACGACTTTTTACGTTTAATTGTGAAGTTTATTATTTCATTATCTATTTAAGTAACATTCAAAGTTATGTTTTAACAAATATAAATTATTACATAAATTGGGGATCACAAAAAAAATTATGAAATATTTGGTGAGCCGCGAATATAAAAAGGTTAAGAACCACTGTTTTAGTAGATAATTAATAGTTCCATGCTTGTTATTTTGATACTGCAGTTGTAGAAAGGATACTGTTATTATTCAAAAAGATATAGATGTATGAGAAAGTATAAAGTCCTATGTGGATCTGAAGAAAAAATATATTTGAATACAGTAAAACTACAGTGGTACCTCAGGATACGAATGCCCCAGCATACGAAATTTTCAGGATACGACATATTTTTGCTCCACGATACGAACAAAAACTCACCATACGACATTACATTAGTTCGCAGTGCAATTTTTTATTCACTTCTGTTCATTGGTCTCAGTCCGCATGTTTGCTTCGTTGTGGAATGATCTCGCTCAATAAAGGAAATCGTGAGGTATTATCAGAAAGTGACTGATTTTATTGAAAAGAAACATCCTGAAAAGGTTTACACTGGCCGTATTGCTGCTCAGAATAATGACATTTGCCTAGTCATTTTAGAAACAGTTTAAAAAATAGGCAAATCCAAACCTCTTTGGATAGATATTTTACCAAGCGACCTCTATCCAGTGAAAGTGCTGGAGGAAATGAAGGAAAGAAAGCAAAAAGCAGTGAATAAAAAATAAAAAATATATATATAAAAGTTAAAAAATTAGTGTTAAGTTATTTTTAAGTTATTGTTACATTATGTAAGTTAAGTTTTAGTATCATTTCCCTTCTCCCTCTCTTCCGCCACCAGTTTACCTTTGAGGATAGACAGTGGAGGTGTAAAGTGCAAATAAAACTACATTTTTATTTTTTTATCAATTATTATTCTATTATGGTTATTTATACATTTACAACTACAAAATGCATTTTTCAGCTTACTTACTATATTTTAAAAAAAAATAACTTACTATAGTTATTTTTTTTTTAAATGTACTACTTAGCTTTAATTTGAGTGCGTTTTTCGTGTTGGAATGAATTATTTGGTTTTACATGTAATCGTATGGGGAAAAATGATTCACCTTATGACGTTTTCATGATATGATCTCAGTTTCGGAACGGATTAATTTCGTATCCTGAGGTACCACTGTAATTCATCTATAGATAAATTAATTTTACTGTATTTAATTATTACTGTATTCTGTATTAATTTTACTGTATATATATAGTTTTTCTTCAAATATTTCAAATTATCCACTTCAAAAATTTATTTTTACATAAATAGATCTATAATATATCCATTTGTTCAATTAACTAACCAAATTGATTGTTCTTATACCAGCATTATTATTATTATCAGTCACATTTTCACACTGATCTTCATAATTCATTTCTTCTTTCCTGTAAAAAATAAACAGAAATTTCTGTAAAAATGAGATTAACATACAAACAAAAATTAAACATATGATTATTTCTGTTATATTCATGTTTTCTTTTTTCAATTATACTATATTATAAAGAAAAACCTCTCTAAAGAATCCCTCTACAAGTAATGAGACCCTTTACAACCCCTCCCTCCCCATCATGTACAGTGATTTACTTTTGGCAAACTACTTCCTCCTTACACTGTACATGTAAATAATAGATGGCCCCTTTTCACTATTCATTGAATTCTTCTATGATTATTTTACCAACTTTATTTCCAATGTTTTATTTTGTAACAGTATACATCCCTGAAATTATTATATTTGTATTATATAACTATTAATGTTAAAAAGTCCTAATCCTGGCTTTCTAAAAAAAATTTTTTTTGGATTAAAAATGTCTGAAAAGTTCTTGTAAGATTATTATTTTGAAATTTTGTATTGAATTTAAAAGAGTTGTTGTTATCTAATTTATTTTGTCGCTAAATAATTTTTGTGATAAATTAAATAATCATGTGTACAGGGGGTTGCAAGAAATGTTCTCCCTGAAAATGGGTGATAGAACTTGTTGAGAAAAGCAAAAACTGTAGAGTAACATATTTGCAAATTTGTGATAGTTACCGAAATATTCAAGGTTAAAATTACAAATTTGAATCCACTTTTTCCTCCAGCAATAACTATGCTATAATTATTGGTATTTAAACTAATCATTTTAAAGATAAACATTTATCGAACTGAACATTTTAAAATAAACAAATGCAATAGTTCCCACTTTATTTCACACAAAATTTTTAATAAAAAGATGTTTCCAGGTTATTTTAGAAATCACAGTGGTGCCAGTTTAGAGGGAAGAAAAAACTGCAATGACAAGCTTTTGTGATTGCTTTTCAATCTGTCCTTCCATTTTCAGTCATAGGTTGATAGTTGGCAACTCTGTAACAGCTGCCCATTCTAGCATTGTTTGGCAAAACTGACCTTAAATATTTTGATAATTATCACAAATTTCAAATATGTTACTCTACAATTATTGTTTATCTTGGAGAGTTCTATTGCCCATTTCCAGGAAGAACACTTTTTTTGCAACACTCTCTATAAAACAAATTTTTACAAATAATAATTACAGATTATTTAATACAAATATATTTTTATAAATATTTACCTTTCATAAATATTTTTTTCAAAGAGTTCTGACATAAGCTCTGCATCTATCTCACCAAAAAATTTTCCAAACTAAGTATAAAAATATTGCATTAATATGGTATAAAAACTTGCATAGTCTTACACAATAATTGTTTACATATATGATATTTGCATCACATTATAAATATTTTATTTGCTTTTTTAAAAATAAATTATTGTTTGTTATTGAGGTAAATCATACATAAATAACTTTTAAAAATAAATTAGTTTGAAAACAAAGTTTATTTATAAAAATAAAATATAAATTACCACATTTATCAAATTTCCTTGATTTGTAGAAACAATAAATCCTCCATCATCTAATAAGTAACATAGTACTTCATCCTATATAATGTAATAAATAAATGTAAATATCTACATAATGATAATGGTAAATGAGAGTATTTTAAATAAATAGGATAATTCAAAAGACTCTGCACAAATAAAAAAATGTCCAAATAGATATATCTGTGGTGCATATGTGTACATAACATCAGATTTGTTAACATGTGTGAGAAAAGCATTCAGTTAAATGGATTTCACATTTATCATATTTAGTAATTTAAGTAATTATATAATAAAATAAACTCTTAGCCTATTTATGGAGATTTTTGAATCATCCTAGATCTATACCACACACAAGTTATATACATGAATGCAACTAGGGGCAGGTGGGGCATAGTTTGTAAGGTAGCTTTTAAGTAGGTTTAAGTTTAAAAATCTTTCATCTTGTAGTATCTTGGATATATCAGAATATAATCAAGCTTACATAATGGGAAATAAATTGAGGACTTTACAGAATTATAACGAGAATGTTGACAGACATGTTTAATAACTACAAAGAGAAACAAAGAATTAACACTATAACTGACATCACTTCATTTCTGTGCTTAATTGACTAACAATTGGTTGAGGTGACTAACATAAACATTAACTGCACCCTTGATGGTGTATATATACATGTACCATGTTTACACTACTTATACCATGTGTAGAAATACTCTTCTTGGCACTGATTCTAGGGCTGGTGATTCTCTTCCTTTCAACCCCTCTACTCAAACACATGTGTTTTATTGTCACAACCATATATTTTAAAATAATAATAGTCACTTTAGGTTCCATTAATGTGCATCTATTCACCTTATTATCCTCTGTGCTGATCTACCTGCGGTCTCTTGTTGATGGAATCAGATTACCTTTTCTTAAGAGACATACGATCTTTCCTTTGTCCTAACTGAAACTCCACATGGCTTCACACTCACTCGTTTCATCTCAAAGTCCTTCCAAGGAGCACAAAGGCGAAGAAGAAAAAGTTCCTCCGACAGGTTGAACCTTCACCTTTATACCTCCCATCACCACAGAAGCGTCACCTGTCACATGACCTGGCAGTAGACCAATTAGCAGCGTCTTCACCATATGACCCAGAATAGGGTGGTACGGGACAAATCCAAAAACACATGCGTAACACAACACAAAACCTGACACAAACTGAACGGAATTACAATTACACACACGATACAGATACAAATAAACAAATTTAGGAAATCTCTACGCAAGTATAGTAGTGCAGCACTACAATCTTAATGTTCTAAATACTATATTCTTTTAATGAAACTGACAATGCTCATTGAAACAATTTTAGTAAACAAATTTTTAATTCACCTTTCAAAAATTTTATGAAGATGAAAAACTGAATTTATTAGCCATTTTAAACTACTAATAATAAAAATAAGTCAAAAACTATCTGAAAGTTAGACTAATTTGATTACAAAAACATTCTTTTAAACATCAATAGTGTGAGAGTCCAGGATTGATTTTATCCCTCTGTGGAGTCACTTCCCTTTCAAGATGATACATCGAATGTGTCACCAGGAACTTGGTGAGAAGAAATTGTTATTGGACATAGGCGCTGCAACATTTTCAAAAAAAGGGTAAGGGAGAAAAGAGGGAGGATCCCCAATAAAAGGCAATGACTGATGATGACAACAGTTCGTCTGGGAGAAAAGTTAGTCCTTGTCAGAGTCGCCTCAACAATAGGGCACCTTAGTGACCTTCCTCCATCCTTAGTGATCCTTCATGAACTCCATAAAAGTGAACTCCACCAAGCCTTTGAGTCGCCTCAGATCCCTTATCAGTTATCTACGAACCTTGTATGTAAACTCTCTCACTCCAACTTCAAACTCATGAACTAGTTAACATCAAGATTTAAATGTTAAATGAAGTTTTAAATGCGAGATATTAGCCTTGCTTGTATACATTTGGGTAGTTACAGTAAATAAACGGAAATTTGTTATTGTTAAATTTGTGTTTGGTGCACTTCCTCAACCTGTGCCATCTTTCGAGTTGGAACTAAGTGCGTACAATGCAACCGCTCGTGAAAACCCAAAACTATTGCCAACAAGGCTTCTATGTTTGCCTAAAAAACACATTACATTAAAAGACACAGTGGTGCCAGTCCTGACGAACTAGTCATTGCATACGTGGTGTCAACCCTTCGGTCCCATGGTGCTGAAGCAATAAGGGTACTTTGAGCATTGTCACAATAGTTTAATTCTACTCTCTAAAAAGTCATGTTTTTTTTAAGATATTTTGATTGTTTATTAATTTACTGAATTTGAATGATAAAAACTATTCAGGTGTAAATTATTTTATATTAAAATTTTAATGCAAGATAACAATAAAAAAGTAGGTTATAATTCAATCAAATAAATTTTATAATAATTGAAAATATTATTATACATATTTTGTTTACTAAGAATAAACGACTTCCAACAACTTAACACTGTGTTTTCTAATAACCACCCACGAAAAACCTTAGGTGCTGAGTCACCACCTGAAGCAGACCTCGGTGGAGGTCGAAAGTACTTGCGGAATTTAATAGTGACATAACACTCGTTAAAAAGGTTTTTCGTGGGTGGTTATACATATTTAATTTGAAAAATAATATTAATTAAGAAAACAAACTTTACTTACAGAATCTTTACAAAGAGTTTCACTATTTATGCTGATATTTTTTAGTTTCTTTTGAAGCCAACTAATTTCAACCTGTACTCCAACTACTACATATTAGAAAAACAACAATTACTATTATTGAAGTAGGATATATCATCCAACATTGACTACATAAATATATAAAAAGTAAAACTTTTATTTTCAATCTAAAACAGTAAATAAAATAAAAATTTAAATATTAGTATAGTAAAATCAATATTTTAAAATAAATAAGAAAAAAAATTTAATCAAAAACATTAAGTCAAACATAAATAAGTATATATAATCATATTTTTCTCAAAATATATTTTATTAAAATAATTAATCTAAATATTTCTAATGTTAAAATCATTTTGTATATACATAAAATATCCCATAAGTTCCCAGCCTAATGAGAAAGGGCAAGGAAAAATAACAAACAATGGTTTTTTCAATATAATTGCCCTTAACTTCAACACACTTAAGATAAAAATAAAAAATTGCCAGGACAAATTATGACATTTATATAGAAAATATTTTTTTTCTTGACTATACATACATAAATGAGTCTTTGTCTACTTTCTGTCCTTTCACACGCTGTACAAGGCAATAACAATTCCACCCATACGAGGCAATAACACTTAAGATATTTAAAAAACAATTCAACTCCTTTATACAAATAATCTGAACAGTTTTGATTAAATAGTGCATTATTGCTGTCTCATCATTGTAAAATGTTTTCCTTGAAGAACTGTTTTTAAATCTGGAAATAAATATAATCTGATGCAGCCAGATCTGGACTGTAAGGCAAGTGATTGAGCTGCTCAAAGCCACAGTCCAGAATGGCAACTTGAAAAAGTGCTGTGGTGTAGATGGGTGCATTGTAATGCAACTGATGTAATAACATTGAATAATATTTTGCATTTATATTAGTATTTCTTTCTTTAAAGTCCACCATAAATATGGTTTTACAGTCTCAAAAAACAGTAGTCATGATCTTCTTGGTTGATTAGCCTTTCTTGGGCTCACTCCCCATGTTCTTTGCCCATTTTAGAAAGGGGGTCATAATAAAGGCCTTAGTTTCTTCTTCTGTAAAAATAATTTTAAAAATCAACTCCACCCACTTTGTGAATGCCCAAAGTCAATACTACACACTTTCTATATGCTGCTGCCATTGAACAGCAGAAAGAAGTTGGGGAATGTTGGAATCAACAATTGCGATGTTTTGTAATGTTCTTCTGATGTAACAAAAGGTTGGTGGCGCTCTTGACCTCTCGAGGAAGGTGACCTCATTTCACTCTCCCCTTTCTATGCTGATCTTCTGTGAGTAAAGACTGTGTAATCTTTGTGCACTCTCTTTGTTCTTTTGTTACACAACCGATTACGTTAATCCAACTGCCTTTTTACTAATCTCTTCGACAAGCAACATCTAGTCTAACAGGGAACACATCTTGTGCTGACTTTGCTCATGGCTAGATGACCACGAAGTTTACACTGAATACTTGTATTCGACAAGTTGGTCATTACTGCTATTTCTTTCACTTTCAACCGATGATCCGAAAGAACTGGCTTCTCTGGTGAGACCTCCATACTGTTCTAGGCATTGCTTTATTTCCGTGGTTGTTTAGCCTTCTTTTGTAAAAAACTTGATGACTGAGTGATACTGTACTTTAAAATTTGCTATTGTGAGGCCTCAGATGAAAGTTGATTTAATGGTCATTAATCTTTTATATACCTGTCTTGACATGTCTTTCAGTCATGTGCAGTAGGTTAAGTCAGAAACTTAGCTTTTACAAAAAAAAGGGCCATAAGCACACAAGTATTTTCATTTCTATACTAGTGAAAATTATGTTATATACTTTATATTGTGTTGACAATATCTAACTTTAATAAAACCTTAAATATGTTTATTCCCTAGAAGAAATTATACTGATTTGTTTAATATATATCTTCAGTAACTTTTATATAGCATGAGATTTCCATAGAAATTAAATTGAAACAATCAAGACGACTTTTGTGGTGTATTGACCATTTTGTTTTTGTGACGCTCTGAACAGGTCCAAACCCTCACTAAAATTTGCATTAAAATACTTTTTTGAAAGCAAAAATAAAAAGTCTAGAAATATTTTTTGATATGAAAAACGTGATACATTCTTCTATTGTTTATATGTTTGCAAGTCCTAAGATCAACCATCTCTGGTTGGGATTGAATTAAACTTTGATTTTGACCTCTCCCACAATTTAAGTTGAGATCTCATTACGTAATAACGAGTGATCAACCACTTAGAAAGTGAGAATGAGGAAAAGTGACCAATTGGAATGGGCAATCAAGTTGACAAATTGCACCCACATGTGGTTCTCTTGACCTTTCATCAGTCTGACTATCGTGTCCCTATCGGGAATCTTACATTTTGCCTCAGGACACCCATATCTGATTTCAGTTCCTCTGTTGCTTCTATGGCTTAGTCTTTAAGTCACAGACAGGACAGGATGCATAGTTCCAGGCTATTATTTGTCAGTGATACATCCTCATCCAGTTTAATACACAGCTGCAAAAATATGAAAGAATTTTTGAGAATGTATGGTAAAAGAAAAGAGTTTAGAAGATGCATCCAAACAGACTGGAAATTGTATCAAAAAAGAGAAAAAAAAAATAGTACTCTAAATAATCAGTGAAGAGGGACAGAAGTGTGGAAACCAAAACATTTGGAGTAATTAAGAACAGGAAGATAAAAATAAAAATGCCCTGGCTTTTAAATAAAAAAAAATTAAATTAAAAACACTAAAACCTATAAAAAATTGCTGAATTATAGGTTTTAGTGTTTTAATTCAAGTATAACCAATTTTGAGTGGCAGTGAGAATTCAAATATCCATTGGCAACATAACTTCATCAAAATGTGTTGAACTCACCAACTTATTGAGCATAATTTTTTTATTAACATCTCATGAGTATATATGGCATATTGTAATAATTCTCCACACTTTTGTTGTCATCTAATAGATAATCTTTGTAATTATTTCTAACTGGATCTTGTATGCTCCATTAAGCCCTGACTAAAGCATATTCCTTCCTATTTCCTTCATGTGGAAACTGTCATTTATAAGGACTTTCTCATAATTTAATAAATTGATTAACATTCATGTTTTACCAATATATTATTTAATAGTTAATTTATAAGAAAGTTTAATTTACTAAAAACAGTTACAATTAACAAAGACAATTCTAATGTTATATGAAAACTAGGATTGTCATTGTTTTTCCTCACAGAAAATCAACAATCAACTACAGGTATACCTCGCCTTACGTCGGTAATTGGTTCCAGGAAAACGACTTAAGTCGAAAAATGACGTAAGTCGAATTTACTTGTCTCCGAATCTACTTGTCACTAGGCTAAACCATAAATTACTATTCCCAGTTCTGTATTTTATTTATTAATGCATTTATAATAATATATGGTTAATAAGAATCTATCTTAAGCTTACAAACAAATAAATTTCAGTTTTTAATAGAGTACAGAAAAAAGTAATCTAAATTTGCGAATGCATGTACGAATACAGTACATACTTGTAAATGTATATATTTTAATATGATTTTATGTGCTTTAAACGCTTTTCTAGTGATATTACGACTTCAATATTTGTGGCGGACGGATGTAAAGTCGAATAAAATGACTTAAACTTGATTTTTATTTTTCCATATACTTTTTTGACAAACGACGTATAATCGGGAACGACGTAACTCGAAACGACGTAAGTCGAGGTATACCTGTATAAGCAAATTATAAATCTTTACATACCTGCAGGTTTCAATATTGTTTTAGATTTAATCACAGTTACACTTCTTCCAATTGTTATTACTGGTTCCAATGTTGAATTAGAAGTTACTGAAAATATTTCATATAAACATATAAATAGTTATATATGGGATAAAGAAAGTGAAATTATTAAAACTCCTAAATCAATATTTAGGAATGTATTTTATCATTTAGAGAATATTGTAGTGCTCCGCAGCTAGTAGTAGTTCTCGGGATAGGGTACGGCCATATCGTGGCGATGATTGGCTGTGCGAACGGTACCTTGGGTAACGGAGGAAGGAAGGGATATAAAAGGAGCACGTCCACGTGGGAAGGGGCCTTTGTCCTTTGTGGGCTTCTGTCGACTTGAGACTGTTGGAGGGAGATTAGAAACGAAAGGATCTCACGGACGGTTTGGAAACATCGTGGTAGACAAAGAAGGACTGCACGTGGGAGCAACGAATCCGAAGAATATAGAGAGGTAGTGTACGATAGAATACGGCAACCATAGGAATCTTCTTGTAATTAATTGTAAAATTTCATCGTCTACATTCATGGTAGACAAGTTGTAATCGCGAAGAATAACATTGTTAATTAAATTCATATTGTTGGTCTAAATCCGTGTACTTATTGTGAAGTCCTCAATACGATTCATTATTGTTACACTAAGATATACTTCGGTATATCTAACTTAGTACAATATTCAATCTTATCATATCAGTCAGAAAAATTATTATTCTATTTTTACATTAACATTAAATTTTTCTTTTATTAATTAATAATGATTTAGAGCAGTGGTTCTTAACCTGGGGTGTGAGAGAAATTTCAAAAATTAAAAAAAAAAAAAAAAAGTATGAGCGAGGCGACCATGTTCTCTACAAACCGTGTACATCACCCCACTTCTTCACTCTCTACCGTCTCACATCTATACTCTCTACTCTACCGTCTCTCAGCACATTGCGCTTTGTACAGTGGGTTAGTCAGCCAAGGCGCTATCACGATGTAGTGAAAAATAAACATGGAAAATTTTTAAAGTATTTTCCCATGCATTTTTCTCATTACCGTTTTGGAAAAATTTCTTAAAACAGTTATGTCTAGTAAAGAAAAATCTTTCTTTATTGTCACATAATTCCTTTTTTTATGTGAATCCATCTAGTATTCTTGATTTGTCTACCTCAGCTGCTTTAATAGAAACATCAAGCTTATAGTCCAATAATTTGGCAGTTTGTTTGTCTTTAATAATCAGGTTTATGAAGAAAAATTTCATACTTGCAGACTTCATACTCATTTGTATTCTTGCCCAATTTGCACAACCTGGCATTACGCAGTTATCAAAGCTACTGGGCATGGTTAAAAATTAAGACAGCGTAAGCACAATTATTCCAGATATTGCAAGTTCTGACAAGTAAAGAATTTTCAGAGTCCTGCCACAAATAATCTACATATTAATTATTGACCATTTGTGACATGCCATAAGCAAAAATTTAAAAAACCAATAAGTAGGTTTAAAATTAATAAATATAAATGTATTCTAACAGTTTATGAGTTAATTATACTTTATTTGCAAAATTTCCTCAACCTTAACACAAAATAAGAAAAAAAGTGAACTTTTAAGAAGTTTGCAGGATTTCCTGGGATGAGAAGAATTTTCTGGGTTAAAGAAAAACCAAAATCCCATTTGAGAAACCCTAGTCTTCATCTATGATTAATTAAAGCTTCAGGATTCTTGTTGTACGAAGCCTCAGAAATTCCTAAGTCCCTTGCTATGGTCAGAATTGACCTCTCCTCTCCACTGTCTCTTCCAGTCTGAAAACTTACCTCTCCCTTTTAGGTCCTTACACATTTTCTCCCCCCCACAGGACAGTTCAGAACATCAATCATCAACTGAGTGAAGTATAAATGAAGACAAGAGAAGATTCCAGAAACAACAAAAGACAAGAATTGAGGACAAAAGCTACAAACTAGAATATTCTAACTTAAAATTATGGCATACAGCCACACCTCTAACTACAGTCAAGCAGGTTTTCTTCATGCAGAGCAAATTATTATTTAGGATCTGAAACTGAGACAAAAATGTTTTAGTCTTAAATGCTTATGTTTCCCAAAAACTTTTCAAATACAGTAGACCCCACTATAACACGGGTTCATATAATGCGGATTCATATATCGCGGCGAAAAAATTGCGACCATATTCGTATAAAGATGCTAAAAGAAACTCATAAAATGCGGCAAAATGTCATCACCAACTTGTGTCACGACAGGATTAGTCGAATCTAGACCAATAGTGGATATTGCACAAACCATTGAGTTTAAATGAGCAGCGGACCTACTAAAAACCATTTATTATTTAACATCAATAAAAATTATATTTATATTAATGATGTCTCCAAAGTTCAGCAAATTTTTCGCAGAAAAATAATTTATCAGAAAACATGCACGTCCCCCGTTCGATGTGCTGCTCCGCGACGAAAACAAGCTTAAGCAATCGCGACGTCGAACGGTGCACACTCGGTAAGTAATCCTACAATTTTTTGTTTATAGCGTAGTTTATACGGATTATTCCCAAAAAAATATACGTATTTTGGAAATGTTGAGTCGAATTAGTCTAGGAATCGATTAATTTTATGGAAAAAACCTTTCAAACAGCCGTAGTCCATAAACTGCATACGTGCCAAGCTGTGATTGGCTCATGTATTTAAGGGCTCATACAACATGAATTTCATAAAAAGTGAAACGTATCTACTGCGTTATAGGGGTCGACTGTACTTGTTTTTCAGGTTTATATTTTACTTAAGATAAATCTGTTTAGACATAAACAACTCTTACAGTCATGTCTATATGCATTATATTAGAAATTATGCTTAAAANCTTTCTAGTATCAACAGGTGTCGATCTGCTCCAATGAGTTTGTTGTTACATCTGCGTTTAGCCATACAAAAACTGGTGTTAATAGAGATTACCAACAGTTAAAAAAAAGAAAAAAATTCGGTATAATTCGTGAAAGAAACGAAATTGAAAAACGGTTACGTGAAAAGAAAAGCTTCGTTCATTCGAGTTTAATTAATAGAAAGATGTGACAATCTTACTTTTGCGTGACTTTCTTCATTCCTACCTGCGACCGTTCGAGCTTTAACATTTATACGAATACGGATCGATGTTTATAGATCGATCGGTATATTTTTGAAGCATTTCAAACCGGGACAGATAAATTTGTCTTTCACTTTATAGGAATGACGCGATTATCACGCAAAATAACTATCGACCTGGCTTTATCCGAGAAAATTTACTATTCCCAACGTAAGGCTTATATCATTCAAAAAATTATTCTTCGTTGAGTATTCCTGGAAGTAAATCCGAAGTTATATATTCATATGTAATTAAGATATAGTAGATAACTGTAATAATTTATGTAAACCAAGATTTATTTAGAAACTTTAATACAATAGATATATATTCCCCTAGCTATTGTTTGATGTAATGATATAATTGGAAAAATATAGATAAAGGAATATTAACAAATTTATAGAATTATTAATGAAAAATTTCATTAATATAATAGATAATAGATAATTCTTATAATGATAATAGATAATATATTTTCATTTCTACCTTAGACATTTACAAATAATAGAATCGCTGATTTTATATACGAAATTGATCTTTTTGTACTAAGAATTATTATAAATCTGTTAGATAGAATCTATAGTCAGTAGTGTCTTTCTTCTTTTATGAATAAAAACGTAATTTATCATTTTCTGAAAATGACATTGAATATCTGTATAACAGTTATTTGAAGCAAGTTTACAAAATATTGCTTCAAAATCAGGAAAAAAACCTATCATCTCTCACAAAATTTATTAAAATTCTTATTAAAAAAAGTGTACTTAAACGATTTATGTATCTTTATAAAAATTGAAATTCAATTAGATTTTTACTCAAAATGTATACAACTTCTGTATCTTGGTTTTGTGAGAGATTTAACTTCTGACTTTCCTGAAAATGCATTCAGAAATAATTTATTGATATTTCAAAATATTAAGAAGTATTGTATAGAAAACTTTTTCAAAGTTAAAATAAATTTCATATTCTTACAAATAATCAAAATTACACAATTGGTCTTTACAGTGACGAAGTTAAATTATTATTTCATTAAATACTTTTGAAGTTAAAAAATCCATCTTCAGCAACAAATACAATTACACAATGGTGCCTTGTACTTCCAATTTAATTTTTTCCAATAGGCCATTCTAAGTCTGAAAAATTTTAGAGAGTACCATGAAAGGCTCTGAGTGGGTAGTTGTCTCCAGTTGACATGGTGATCTGTATGATTATATGTAGTTAATTAACGTGGAAGTGAAAATCAAATGGAGGTCTGAGCGGCATAATTCATAATGTATTCATGTAGTAGTGAGACGTAAGATTTTAAATAATGAATTGTGAATAAAATAAAATCTTTACAAACAAAAACTTTATTCAGATAACACTGAATTCAAAACAAAGTAAACAACACAACTTGTGATACCAGCCGAGGAGCATATGCCCAATAAACACTCAGGCATTATACAGCAAGACAACAATTCTTAAACAATGAACTAAATAAACTTAAAACTAATCATTAAGTCTAAAATTTTAATTCTAAAAGGCAAGAAGAGGTTGGCTGATAGAGGGTGAAATTTCAGAGATAGAAAGATAAGTCAAATCCTTCTAAAACAAAAATGGAAACACGTGTTCAGAAACTTCTTCCTCTATCTCAAAACCAGAATTGTAATGTCTTCTAATCTCGATAGAACCTCAAAATATCTAATACCCAACGTGCCTAAGTCTCCACATGGTGAAATCGAATAAATTTCTTACTGCTCTACATGGTCCATTCAGTTGGTTTGCTTAATCTCTCACTCACACTCGTTACATATATATATATCAAAGATTCTGCATTATTACAAAAGGGTTTAATCTTTCTGGATTCTTGGACCTCACAGTTCTTTGACATCTAAAATCTCAATCTTCATTCTAGTTGGAGGGACTGGTATCCTCTCTCTCCAGCTCTCGTTGAGAATTAACTATTAAAGTTTAATTCTCCCCATTTTTGTCATGTCATCCACAAAACCTGCCAGTGCCAAACTGGTTCTTTCTTGGAAAAAGAGGGCTCAATTCCAGAATTAGAATGGACCACCATAGACAGAGAAGAATGACAGCTTTCTCATAATAGAAGGAAAAGGATCAAAAAAGGTAAAGAAAAAGAAAATTATTATTAGCACCTACAAAATTATGGCCTATCGTCATATAGCAGGGCTGTGGAGTTGGAGTTGGGAGGAACTTCTGGCCAGAGGAGTCGGAAAAAATGTGTCATTCCAACTCTCGCATTTTAAATTTACTTTAATTTTTTTATTTAAATGAAAGAAAATTTATTATATATTTATTAATTTTTAAAAATCTTTTTGTATTTTGTTATAATTCATTTATTTTAAATACAAAATGCATCAATTTAATTTATCAAATATGTAGTATTTTTTGCAGTATTTGTGTTTAGTAGTTAAATTATTTTGACGCAATTGAATTTGAATATTTTTGAATCATTCCTTTATTATCCCTGCTCTAAATAAGTACTCCATTTTTCTGAATGAGCCAGACTAATTAATCAGAGTATACATTTTTCTTTTCTGAACAACGGGCTGAAGTAGCTAAATTGCACACTTTTTAGTTGGACAAACTCTTCTGGAAGGGTGAAATTGAAATGCAAATGCTGTCAAATTTATGTAGATATAGAATTTTATTGTCCCCTTTCTCCTCTTAAGTATTTGTTAAAAATTAATTTTTTTATACAAATAAATATTAATGAAAGTTAAATATTAAAAATACTAACTATAAAAGTATTTGGGTAAACACTGCAGGCTCCTTTCAGAGTTCCGAGTAGGGTATCCCTCTAAGAGCGCCTCTGTCCCCCATAAAATGACTTGGTATTTAATTTTGCTGGAGTCAGGAGTCGGAGTCAAGTGTTTTTTTTACCAACTCCACAGCCCTGTCACATAGTAAGCAACATTGTGAGTTTGAGTCCTATTTGAATAAAATATTCTAGAAGAAAATATTGAAAGTAATTTATTTATTTCTAGTTATTAAATTTAATACAAGATGGCAGCATACAATGGACTGACTGAAGCTTGGGAAAAGCCTACAACCGTGAAGAGTGGAGAACTGTCCATTAACTACAACTCTCTGTAAAGAGGATGCTGAATGAATGAATGGAAGCATAGCCACATCTCTTTACTCCAAATTTCACAATATCTGTGTATAATTAGCCAAGTTATAACCTGATAATTAATATGGCTCTACATTTGATTATTAATATAATTCAGGCTTGATTTTCTGTATTTACTTTAGTATTATCCTTTGTTGTTAACTGCATTATTATATTTGTGGTATGTGATGACTTATGATAAAAGAGTACATATTTATATCATAATTATTATTCAGTAAATGTATTTAATAACTTTAGAATTCTTCATATAATTTTTAAAATATAAGTCAATACATTTATGAAGCAATATAATTAAAAAAATACCTCAAAGGAAACACTCTAGTAAGACCACTTTCTGTTGTTACAAATGTTGATACTATATTTTTTCTAAAATTAAAAATTAAAAAATAATTAATTTATAATACAAAAAATTATTACAGAATAAATTATAATATAAAAGTTGACAACTTGGAAAATTATTCATTAACAATTATTTCAATACACTTTTGCCGTCTTCATTTTGAAAGATAGTTTGTTTATTTGTTAATTTTGTCTACATTAATGTGATCTTTGATGGGACAGATGTGGCTTGATCCAGCCTCGTGTTCTTAACTTTCCTCCCTTTTTTTTAAAATTAGTTCTTCCAGGCTTCGTCCATCTGGACTCGCCCTTATTGGTTGGTCTGATGTGTTCTTTAAAACAAAAGGGGTAGAACCTGATTGGTCAGAAGTAATGGACAAAGAAGATATTGGGACAGAGAAGGATGAGACGGACATCTTTTGAGATTGAGTTTTTGGAGAAGGAGTAACACAAGCATGTTGGAAAGAACAAAAAGGAATTTCCCCACATCACCAAAAAAAAGAGACCCCAGGTTAATTTGCCAACCATCTCCCCTTTCTTCTAAATCCTTCTGTGAGAATTCAGAAGCAGAATAATTTTATTTTAATAAGAAATTGTTAAAATATTAAATTGATGTCAAATTTAACACATTTCTGTCAAATTCGTGGGAAGGGAAGTAAAACTTCCCTTGGGAAAAATGTTATCACACATCTCCAATTAACATCTGTCCATTTGCATCATAAATAATATCCCATCAGATGTTATGAATACTAAAATCCGATTAGAGAGAATTTTAGAATAAAAGGGGGTAAAAAGGTAAATTCAGGGCAGACACCCAAATATAAGAAACTGCCATATATAGTGAAGTGTGGAAGCCATAAGAAAAGCATAATCCTGCTCCAGCTCCACATCACCAGACTCCAAAACCCACCTATATCTCCATCTCACAGGAATTCGAATCTCCATCTGCTAAATATCATCAATTAACCTCTCTATAAGAAATATATTAATCAAGGCCAATTGTGTGACAGTCCAATGAAAGGATCAACATTTATCAATAGAGGTAATATGTTTTTATTGATGTAAACTCTCTTTCGCTTTTAGATACGGACTTTAGAAGCTATCAGTGTGTAATTGTATATTTGTATGTTTATATTCATTATTTTCGATAGACTTGAAAAATTTAATTTAATTTTTGTAAATAGTCTAAACTTCAATTACGAAGAAAATACATCCTGAGTTATCACAAAAATCATTAAATTTTGTTTTAATTTGTTAAACTGATCTCATTCTTGATTTCAAATATAAGCCAAAGCCTTATCGGGAGTCCACAATCCCTCCCCCTTGGAAGAGTATAAAAATATTATTTTGCATGCCTAACACACTAATTAGGCTGGTGTCAGGAAAAATCTACAGGAAGATCACAAGAACTTCCTGTTCACAAATAAAATATTACTATAATCCCATCCAATGATACTGTGGGCAGATCTTTTGGATCTGACATTGAACATGGGTGAGAGAGAACCCTCTTAACCCCAGATTCCCACACTTCCATCTTAATTTTTACTTCTAAAAACCACCATCTTGATCCAGGATGTTACTACTATTGTAAAAACTAGTTAAGTTAGAATTAAGTTAGGTTAAGTTTCCTTTGTTTATTGTCACGTGAGACATCGTCGGTCATATTGTAAATTTTGTCTCAATTTACTCTATATATATTAGTATAATTTTGATAACTTTTTTGTTGGGAAAATGTTGCTTAACAAAAAATTAAATTTCTTAAATTTTATCTAAGCCAAGTGTTTCTCAGGAGTCAATTTTTTTCCTCGGTTACAATTTTTGCTCAAAATGACAAGAGGAGTGTTCTCAGTATGGGTCTGAGTTTTCCATAGTTCATGGGAAATGTTCTTATATTAAAAAGAATGACCTAAAAATGTTTAAAATGATTAATAAATATAAGCTGTTTTGTCCTAAAGAGCATATTGTTATTTGAATTCCTGTCCCTACTTTTTGTTGATTTAAGTAACACCTTATATTTCACATGTTTTGGTTAAAAATGTAACATTGGTATTTTTTCCAGGTATGAGGAAACTTAAGTTTGTTGAATTGCACTGGTGGGAGGTAAGGGATGCTTCTGTTGCCTGTTCCAGTTTGACATTGTGAAAATCTGGAAAACCTAATTATGGAGCATTACAGAAAGGTTGTATGGTGGTTGAAAAGTATAAAAAATAGCATTAAATAATTTATGGATGATCCATTATCATATACATTTCATCCATTAATACAATAATGTAACAAAAAGTTTATGAAAATAATAATTTCATTATTTTAAAATAAAATTAGTGTACATACTGTGAGAAGGAAATGATCACAGACACTGTACCAATTTACTGTGTGATACAATTGACTAAACAGTACAAAAACAAACGTTTTCAAACCCCTTCTGGGCTCTTCATTAAGTTCCTACAATTTTAGCTCGTAAATTTGATTAACGACTGCCTTTCAAATAACTTCGTTCTTGAGTTCGAACAGGACCCTCCTAACCCCAGCAGACGACCAGGAATCTATAGTGTCCCTTTGAGAGATAATAGATTCAATAGGGATTTAATATATATAGGCTCTACTAAAAGATCCATAGGCATCAGAATGCAGGAACATCAGGCTGATATTCATCATGGGAGAACCAGCACAGCCCTCGCAACATACATAACAGACCCGGACATAGTTGCCGACTTTACTAGGGCCAATCTCCTTCTCAGGCGCCTCCCAATGATCATCTCAAATGGTTAGTGGCGATGCACATCTTTAAATCCTCTATCAAAACCATGTGCATAAATTTTAAGGAGGAGATGCTTTTGTCGATGGCCTGGCAAGAGTTGATACACAGCACGCTTTAGCCGCTCATTATATCCGAGCAGGATGACTCGTCACGCATGCGCATCGTATAATTTTAAAAGAACTGTTCACACTCAAGAACAAAGTTATTTGAAAGGCAGTCGTTAATCAAATTTACGAGCTAAAATTGTAGAAACCTCATGAAGAGCCCAGAAGGGATTCGAAAACGTTTGTTTTTGTAGTTTAGTCAATCGTACCACACCGTAAATAGGTTCAGTATCTGTGATTGTTATATAGGTGTGGTGAGTAGTAAATTTTTTAGAAGGAAATGTATGATTTTATAACAATATGTAAGTTGTCTTGAATAAACATATCAATTTAAAATGTTGACATAATGGTATATAACAACTATTTAATACATAATACATTAAAAATCATAAAAACTTTAACAAACAATAAACAAAATGTATTGAATAAATACATAGCATTTATATATTTTTAAAGGGAGTATTTCTAAACATATAGAAAGCAATTACTCTTCAATTTCATTTTGTAAGTATTTATTATTTTGCTTGAATTTTAAAATAAATTTATTTCATTTATTTACTTTTAAACAAATGTATAATATTATAAAATGGTGTTTAAATTTTCATATTAATTTATAATTTTGAATTTAATGAAAACAAAACAGAATACAATATAAATAATCTTAAGTCATTTATATTGGAATAACTGTTTTACCTTGTTCCATCTCTTTCTTCAGATTTCCAATAATGAACAACATCATCGGTTTTCTTTTTATCAAATATTAACCTTTGTGTTAACAATCTGTCACCTATCGTAATAGCATTTCAATTCTGCATTTTAAAATTTTATTTTTACAAAATCATACTTCAAAATTCATAATAAATTACTTTTAATATTTAAATTAATTTAAATTTTTAATTATAGAAAAAATACTGAAAATGGCTTATTCTAAAAAAACAAATTATTGTAATATATGTAAAATATTATGTGACAAAAACATAGCGGCATCAATGGTGCTCCAATGTTTGTGTTTTGTTTAAATTTTCTTTGTATTGCTATCAATTATTTCTGTGTATATTAATTCTATTAATTTCATTAGCCATAGCCATCATATACCATTTTTATTTTGTAATAACATATAATTTTGTATTTTCATATCTGTAATGTTTATGTTCTACATTCATGCGCAAAGAGCAATTTAAAAATGAGTTCTATCTCTATAGTTCTAATGTTCTATCCACCATATTACCTGAAAAAGAGAGTTATATGCTGTTGATAGTACTCATCAATTAAATGTATTTACTCATAATGCAGTTTCTTAGATTTATCTATTATTACAATATCTTTGTACTTTTTTTAATTTCTAAATTATAAAAAATAAAAAAATATATATAGTAGTAAAGTCACTACAAATGATCTATAATATATTTTAACATTAATTACACTATAAGAATTAAAATTTCAACTGTTTTGAAATTGTAACCTAACTTTACTTTTGAACTAAATTTGTAGTTAAGAAATTAAAGTATTGGATTTAAAATACAGAAAATTTAAATACTCTTTATACTGAAATCTTAATATTTGTGAATAAATTATTAAAAATTATTCAAAAAATTAAATTTTTAACTTAACAATTTTCAAACAAAACTCTGTTTTTTTATGCTTTTCAAATGTGATAAAAATTGATGTTCAATAATTATTAAATGCAAATAGGAAAGATAACTTACAGTGTTCAGGATTTGATTGCAATGTGTAAGAAATATTTCTTATAATATCCTCCATTTCACCTTCCAAAACCATATCATGACAATATATCCTTGAAAAATAACAGTTTATATAAGAAAACTAAAGCATTAAATGCTAATATTTATATGTATCAGATGTTTGTAACTAAAGTATTTCTATTCAATACCCTCTAGAGAGATGCTTAGCAATCCATATGCAACCAAACCTGGTATGGCAACAATTAAGAACATGCAGAAGACATTTCTGTAAAAATATTAGTATAAAACCTCACTACTACAGCATTTTTAGTGCTGCAGGAAATATATATTTTTGATTAAAACTGACTGACAATATTTACATAGTAAAAAATACATGGAAGAAATTAAAATGGCTTCACTTTTTATTATGTCTAATCATCATGAACAGTCTTCCACTGTAGAGATGATCTTTTATTAGAAGCTATGTCTTTACAAAAATGATGAAAAACAGACATTTTAGTTTCTTCTACGTATGTTTTTACTATGTAAACATCAGAAGTTATTTTTAATTATTTGCTTGTCTTCAGTGAACTTTTTAAACTGTTTTGAATATTTTTATAGCAGTGTAGCCTCTAATAAAATTTCTCTGCAATGGAGGACTGTTGTTCCTGGTGGTTGGACAATGAAAAATGAAAATATTTTAGTTTCTTCTATATATTTTTTACCAAACAAATATTGTATTTGTACAAAATACTCATGCTGTACAGAGACTTTAACAATGCAGAATATACTGATCAATGTGGTCACCATTGTAAAAATGTAAAACCTGAAGGCAATGAACAGTATGTTTAATAGACTATCATAATTTATTCTCATTGATGCTTCTCACACAGTGGATACTGGTTTTTGAGGCTGTCAAATTTGCTAATATCCTCAATAAACCACACTCTAAGTGTCTCCACATCAAAAATCACATGGATTAAGTAAGATTCAGAGAACAAAGTGGTCAGGCAGATAAGAAACATGGACTAATCACTCTGTTATCAGTAAAATATCACAGAAACTGCTGTATGCAGCATCCAGTTATTTTGCATAAAAATAACTGACTCAAGGCATCAGTTGAAATATGGCATAAATGTTGAGCATCTCTCAGATCCTATATATAGTTCATTCATAAGACAAAGAAATTATATAGTATTATGATTACCATAATTTCCTGCATATAATCCATAAAAGTTGCTAAAACATATAGCCTGCACCTGCTTTCAAACTGATTTTAAACTTACATAATACACCCAAACTCTAGCAGTAAAGTTCAATATTTATATTTATACAAACGTTTTTGGTAGTTTTACGCCACCATCTTCAGGTTCTAAAATCTTTTGAATATAGAACAATGCTAGTTTTTATTTCTAAAAATAGAATGCCATGTGTGTTGTAGTCTTTAAAATTCAGCATTTATATGTCCCAACTGATCAGCTTTTGCTAGTGATGTGTCTGACTAAAAATACAAACAACACACAGGTTATACACAGGAAATTATACTAAATGCTGTATTTATTAATTTGTTAATAATAATATAAGCATTCTTTTAAACAGAAAAACTAATAAATAAAAACAATAACAATGAGATGTAAATTGTAATATTGAAAAAACTGAACAATGTTAACTTAATTATAATTTTTAGAATTAGTTAAAAATCAAAAAATATATTATTTTAAATTTGAATTCAATATAATTTATAATTCTACATAGTAAATATTTCAAAAATATTATAGATATCAGCAAACTAAGAATTATTAAAATAAGATTAAATTATAATATATTTTAACATTTTTTACTTACCAAGGAGCTAAAATAACACTATGAATATCATCACCTTCAAAGTTTAATCCTGCAATAGAATTTTACTTTTACGAAATTTTTGCCATATGACTTTTATAAATGGGCAAAATATATTTTAAAAATTTATAAAAATGTATGCAAAAATAATTTTGTCTTCAGAAATCAAACATTAATTAATATGTAATTTTCAAAATGTTCTTATATCATTAAAATATAAAAATATAAAATGTTTAAGTATCTGTTTTTCATTTTTAACTTGTCGAATAAAGTATGATCATCCTATCAGTGTTTCCCAAATAATATTAAAGTGCTACAAAACATTTATTTAGTTATCAACCAATGATTCTAAATGAAATAAAATAAATAAAAGTGATAAATAATTTTATTCACCAATATAAAAGGAATATATATATAAAATGAGAGAAACAAATATGCAAATTATCAAAGATTTCCTTATTTAATAGTGAGAAAAATAAAGTTAAGACAATAAATAAGCAGAAAACAAGTAAAATAGAGTAAAATAAAATTTTGTTTTTTTAATAAAATAGTTATAAATCAACAGAAAGATCTATAACATAGAAAAAAGTTCACTAAACTGTACAACCATGTTAGAAGGAATAGCACTACTTGCAAATGCAAATGTAAAATGAACAAAACAAAGAAATGGAGACTAAAACCTACAAACTATGTAATTATAATGTATGGAAATTTTGATCTCATCACAACTATGATTACAATATTTTGTAGTTGTAAATTGGTAATCATTGTATCAAATATTTCATATCATAAATTGGAAGAGAGAGAGAGAGAGAAGAAGAAGAAAAAAACAGCTCACTGTATTGATGATCAATAAAAAAACCTTCCTCACTTATTTCTAGCCATTTATACACGAGTATGAATGTTTTAGGCCTTCTTAATAGGCCTTCTTCAGGCACACTGTGGTCTGTTAGAGTGTCGGTATTCATACTCGTGTATAAACGACTAGAAATAAGTGAGGAAGGCTTTGTATTGATCATCTTAAAATAGTTCTAGCTACAAATGCATAGAAGATTACTGTATTGAATTCTTGTATATTGAGTAGTCATAAATTGAGATTACATTGTACCACATATCTTAATCTTGCCATTATTTTTGAAAAACAAATATATTCTGTTATTCATGATAGTTTTATTTGGAAAATAAATAAAACATATTTGTTTTATTGGAAAATTTAATAAATTTATGAGAACTTTTTAAATGTTTTCATGAATCTCTACCTGCTGTAAAAAACTGAACACTAAATATCCACAATAATGAACAATTTCAAATATACAGAATTTGAAAGATTCTATTACAGGTAGAACCTTTCAAACTTAGTGTGTTGTTTTTTTTTTCTTTTTTTAATCTTTCCACTCTGTAGGCATTAAGAGGACTTTATTTTATCAAGCTCTAAAGTTTTAATTTAATTGAAATAAGAATTGTCAGATTAAAAAAATATATATAAATAATCACAATAAAGAGGACAGATGGTAAGTGCATTTTTGCAAATCATATAATATTAATTAATATTATTTTAAAAATTTCTTAAGTTCTATATAAAATGAACCTTTATTACTGAATTACTGTATATAAGCATAATAACTAACTCAATTTCAGAAATTTAATTGAAAAAATATAACTGACTTACCATAATCTGTATCCATTCCATCCACACTGAGAAAATGTGTTCTTTCAGAAGGTATAACTACAGCCACACTTTAAATTAAAAAGAAATAAGAAAAAATATTANAAAACGTTTAATGGCGTTTTGACTTTATTATTAACTCGAATTTGTCTGCTTTAATTAAATTTTGAAAATTTAACTTTTATTTTTTATTTTTTCCGCCCGTTTAGATCGTTGAATTACGGTGGGATCGGAGTGGTTATAGGCCACGAGATTACACACGGATTCGACGATAAAGGTAATGATAAAAAATTTTGAGTATCACACGTATACAATGCGCGATACTGCAAATTTTCGATAAACCGAAAATCCTATTTTCAGGTCGGCAATTCGACAAGGAGGGAAATTTAAAGCAGTGGTGGAATAACGCAACCATCAATAGATTCCGAGAGAGAACCCAATGCATCATCGATCAGTATTCCAGCTACGTTCTAGAAGACACAAATTTAAATGTATCTACTAGGAAAATTTCGTCCCCGACTGAAGCGCAGCGGCGGCTGGCCAAGTCGCGTTACATTATTACAGGGTGCTAAATTAACCCCAGTCCTCACTCTTCATAAGCAGTCACTTCTTACCTTTCTTCTAAAACTTCCTTAACTTACACACAAAAAAAAATTGTGCAAAGTATAATACGTTAACATAATAAATCAATTTTTCGAGAAAAATGTAAAAAAATTCATAATATTTAAAAAACTTTGGCAAGAGCTTGATTGTATTTCCAATGTCAGGTAGCAGGCGCTCGTTTGTTTACGTGTTTACAATGCAAAATTTGACTCCCAATTTCTCCCATTTCAGTTCCAAATTTAAAATTCGGCCTCCGTCACATGTTATTTTATTGTTTCTATTAATGTATTAATGTGCAAAGTTTCGTTATCTCGCAAAACGTGTTTGGGCGATTTGTCAGTTCGAGTCGCTTCGCTTCGCTAACAACGCTTTCCTATTGAAAGTTTTTATTATTTAATTTCAATAATGACGAATACGTGTTTCTACAGGTGAACGGGAAAATGACACAAGGCGAAAATATTGCCGACAACGGAGGTCTAAAACAAGCTTACAGGGTAAGTGGAGTTTAGAATTGGTGTATTTATTTTATTCGGTGTGTTTGCTCAATATCGTTATTCGGTTCAGGCGTATAAGAAATGGGTAAGCAGAGAGGGAGAAGAGTTAGGATTACCGGGATTAAATCTAACGCATGACCAATTATTTTTCCTTAACTACGCACAGGTGAAGTATATTAACGTTTTTGATCGTCTTAATCGCCGATACTTATATTTCACCATAAAATTTCGTAGGCTCGATAATAAACAGATGTTATCGAATTTTGAAAACAGATCTGGTGCGGCTCGATGAGGCCGGAAGAAGCCAAGAATAAAATAAGATCGTCGGTACATAGTCCCGGTCCTATCAGGTATTGTACGAGAATTACGTTGATCTTTCTGTTCATTTATCAGTTACTTATTGTTTTGAGTATTCAGAGTTCTAGGGCCACTTTCCAATTCTTTCGATTTTGCCAAAGCCTACGACTGTGTTCCTGGTAGCAGGATGAATCCGGTTAAGAAGTGTTCCGTTTGGTAAAGTGAAATTTTTACAACTGAAACAGTACGTCAGTCTTCTAATCCAACAGAAAACACATCCGGAAGATCGCGTGACAAGTAATAATACAGCCTATTCAAGATTCTGTGAGATTAATCAAAACGTTTTAAAGGATATTCTTGTTTGATATTTGGCAAATATATATATATATACACACACACAATATTTGCAATCATGATATAGTGCAAGTAAATTATTACATTTTTGCTCCAATACCTAGAAAAAACTAAATTAAATATTTTTGGTGTTTACTTAATTGGTTTGGTATACTGGTGTGTTTTTAAAAAAATTAAAATTATTTGCCATCATTTCCAAAAGTTATAAGTAACAGATAGAGAATAAATAGAGAGGTTGCGGCTGATATTTTCAATGCAAAAACGTGTATGTTGGACGTTCAGCGGCACCATCCTGTAAGCCTAAAAGTTTGACAATGGTATTTGGAACATCAGTGGAATCATGCTCGATGTTCTAAACGCCATTGTCAAACTTCTAGGCTTACAGGATGGCGGCGCTGAACGTCCGACGTACATGTTTTCACCTTGAAAACGTTGACAACAACCTAATAACAAAATTTTGTGGCAAAACAGTGTTAATCTTGTGAATCGTATCAAAAAATATTTGTTAGTTTATATTTTGCAAAGCATATTAATTTATTCATTAATTTTCAGCATGTGAAAAATAAAAGAATTACAAGTATATAAAAATTTATGTTTTTTTTTTAATTAAAACCTGGTAATATTAAGATGAATATATTATTTTGATTTAGTAATTCAATTCAGCATACAGTCGACCCCCCTATAACACGGGTTCCTATAGTTTGGATTCCTATATGACGGCAAAAAAATTGCAACGGTATCCGTACAAACATGGTAAAAAAAGACTCCCATAATTTGGTAAAACGTCATCAGGCAGCCAAACTACTTTCCGCCGTCCAGCGCCACGCTACAGTGAGCTTAGGCAGGTAAATTGAGTTTACTATCGTCTGTACAGTATTATATATAAATTAGATACTGTATATATAATTATATATTAACTTAATTTATTGTAACTTTATTATAATTATATATATACTTTCCGCTGTCCAGCGCCACGCTACGGAGAGTTTAGGCGAGTAAGTTGAGTTTACTATCGTCTGTACAGTATGTAAATTAGGTACCGTAAGTCTAATACAGCACTAATTTTATACATTTCTTGTGAAAGAAACATTTCTTATTCAACGACCATAAAAATTATTTATATTAATGATGTTTCCAAAGTTCAACGAAGTTTTCGCAGAAAAATAACTTATCAGAAATCGTGGCTGCTGTTTGGTGTGCTGCTCCGCGACAAAAACAAGCTTAAGCAATGGTGACGTTGAACGGTGCACACTCGGTAAGTGATCCTACAATTTTTTTGTTTATAGCATAGTTTATACGGATTATTCCCAAAAAAATATACGTATTTTGGAAATGTTGAGTCGAATTAGTCTAGGAATCAATTAATTTTATGGAAGAAAACCTTTCAAACAGCCATAGTCCGTAAACTTCACACGTGTCGGGCTGTGATTGGCAAGGTCTCCTAAAACATCAATTTCATAAAAAACGGAACATATCTACCATGTTATAGGGGGGGGGTCGACTGTAATTCAATAAGTCAAAACAACCACCATTTTCAAACTTTTATTCTAAAAATTTCTATGAATATTTTATAAAATAGTATTTGTATATGCATATAAGTTTTTTAAACTTATTTTCAACAAATTTGCTAACATTATATTAACTCATTTTTGAAAATACATAGTTAATGCTAAGTTAATTTGAATCAAAAATATTTATAAATAGTAAATAAATAATTTGATTTTCTGAAATTCACAATTTTTTTATAGATATATGCAGTGGTGATATTCGAAATATTCAACAAAGGGTTCGCTAACAGAAAAGTTTTCCGTAAAGCCCCAAGCCCGAGATATCTCGGGCAAGTTACATAGCGTTACATAAAACTCGGGCGTTTGAACCCTCTAATTTTTTTTAATTTTTGGAATGTATTTTAAGTCTCCAAATTTTTTTCCCACGCGAAAGAATTTTATCGCGATTTTAATTTATCTTTAATGATGCACGATTCACGCTTAATTGTTTTTTAATGAGAGTTTGATATCAAATTTTATTAATCGTTCTAAAGTTGTAGTGCACAAATTTTTCTCCGGTAAAGTTATTTAAAGCTAGTTTCTAATGTCAAAAACGACCTCCGATAGTTTAAAAATTTTTTTAATTAATATATTTTATTATATAATCTATAAGTTTAATTAAGTCGGGGGGGGTCGGAAATCGCAATAAAAATTTTAATTTTTTAAAAATATACGGCCAGCTAGTATTCACCCTACTATAAACCCATCGCCTCCCGAGACTTCTGAGAGAATGTCCCGGGAAATCCAACTCCAGCTGTGTTCAAGGTCATCCAGCTGTGTAAACAATGACTCATCAGCGTCAGATTTCACAGAAAGGCGAGACAAAGGAAAATAAAATTTGAAGCTTTTTCTTCAAAATTAACGCATTTCTTTCGTTTTTTTCAGTTTTAAGTATTTTTTATGTTTAATTACATTAATATCAAAAATTGCTAGAGTCCCAAGGAGTTAACTGCTTTCCCTATGACTTTTTCTCAAGAAAAAACTTTTCTAAATCATTTATTTTATCATTAGGTATTATTATAATAATAGACAGATGTCATCGTTTCTCGAAATACAATATCTTTTTTATTTCGCTGTCGATAGCCCGACACGTGTTCCGCAGCCATCTTGTATTTTCTCGCGCACGTGGGATTGTGGGATCTCTTGTATGACTGAACCTAGTTTCAAGAACTTTCTTGAGTCGGTCGCGATTAAATCTCGTTTCAGTCGAGATTGAAACGGTTGATGGAGGTTGCACCATGGCGAACGGGGTATAAGGTTCTAGTTTAGTAGTGTTACAGAGTATAATACGTATTTTTAAATATATTTTTTAAAAGAAACAAAACCACTGAGAAATGTTACGTGTGTTTAACAACGGGTTCGGAAAACTTGAAAATTTTAACAACGGGTTCGGCCGAACCTGTGCGAACCCGCTGAATATCACCACTGGATATATGTTAAAATTTTAGAAAACATACGATGACAACAAACAGACAACAGTTCTAAAGAAAACAGATGACGAAATTCATAAGATGTATTAGAAAGAAGTTTTGCCAACTTACAGTAAAGAAATGAAAATTAAAAGTTAAATCTCTTACTCACATTTTCTCTAATAGAATCAGTTATTTCTATATCTAATAAATCAACATCTGGTGGATTATCAAGATATGTTGCCTAAAAAACAAAAATAATCAATAAAGTAATTATATATTAATAACTGAAAATTATTTATATTCAAAATTATATCTGAAAAATATTATTTAAAAATTTATAATTACATTAAAAAACATGTTACATATTATTTTAATTTCTTAAAATAAACAATTATAATTATTTAAGCAATTAACCTGTGAAAATTTTGAATCAGGAGTAAAATTTACATCTTTATCATTTCTTCTGAGCGAAAGAAAATAACCAGCTTGTCCAATCTATATTAGAAAAAAAAAATAAAAACTACATTTAACATAAAACTTGACTGAATAAAACAAAAACACTTAATAAGCAATATTAAACTTTTATAATGCAAAAGTGTTAAAATATATATTGGCAATGAAAGAAATTATGAAAATATTCATTATTATTATTTATCATAAAAATGCATTAATATAAAAATGAAATATATCAGGAATTGCATTAAATTTTGTCAATTTTTGTATTTGTGTCATGTCTGGTTCTTGTCTGCTAGTTTTATTAATGGCCATTAACATCTGTTGTGATACCAGACTTATTAAACACAGAATAGGAAATATTTCCCAATTAAGAAATAAACATTTATTGGTTTATATTATCTGGGGAATGCATTTTGGACCTTCTTGTCCCTCATCAGACCCTATACAAGTTATACTTTGTCTGTAATTGTACATGTTTTTAGACAAATGAATATGCATAGATAAGAATTTCACTTATACTTTTTGATGATGACTACTTTATCTCTCAAACAGTGTAAGTGAAATTCTTATCTATGCATATTCATTTGTCTAAAAAGATGTACAATTACTGACAATGTATAACTTGTCTAATGAGGGAAAAGAAGGTCCAAAATGCATTCCCCAGATAATATAAACCAATAAATGTTGATTTCCTAATTGGGAAATATTTCCTATCCTGCATTTAATAAGTCTGGCATTACAATGGATGTTGATAACCATTCATAAAACTAGCAAATTTTATCAATATTTTAGTTTCTGATTAGTTCTGTCTTATCTCCAAGCTCATGAACTTTAAATCTATAGCTAGCTTTTTCTTCTATAAGTTCATATATTAATAATTTTCCATTACATATCAAAAATCAAAGCATTTGTTAACATTTTACTTGCCTCCATACTGTCAAATTGTTATGTGCTCTATTTGTAATCTTAGTTATCATATCAAAAGTTCATGTTTCTGATCTTTAAATACCAAGTGTTTTGTAGAGTTCCTATTTGCTTTCATATGTTATTTTCTTTATTTTAAGTGTCACTGTAAAATGCTACTATATGATACAGATGAGTAGTAAAGACATTTAGTTCTCCTTGTAATAAAGTATACTCTTTTTAGTTTTTTCTCATATACAAAAAGTAAATATTCTGTATGTTTAATATTTTATATATTCAATATTTAAAAATTTTGTATTTATTGTTGTATGTTATTGTTTTTTTCTACTATGCTGTACAGGTATCCCTTGATTAATGCAGTTAATTAATCCCTCGATCCTATTTCATATATCAAAATACAGTATCTATATTAAGTAAAGATAACTGGTAAAGCGATGTAAATTAAAACTTCTGCTGTGTATATAAGGGGATTACTGCAATTAATGTCATGCATTAATCAAATCCTGTGTTAAACATGGGATACATGTATTATATTTTTTATCAAAGAAACATTGTCATGTTGTAAGAAATAAATAAATACTTAAATAAATTCCACCAGATTTTCTTAAAGCTTTTTCAAATTGATTCATTCAGAAGCAATTTTCAAAAATTATCCTAATAGGATTTTAATGTTATAATAACAAAGAAAATGTTTTATTTTTTACATTTAATAAACTACTGTATATGAGTGAATTGACATTTTTATTTTAGTTAAATAAAACAGCAAATACATATAAAAAATCTAGAATAATTTGAAAAACTCTTTCTTCATGTATAAAAAAAAATTATTTTTCAAGCTTGGTTTTAAATTTAAAAAATACAATCAAATTACATTTACCTTTATATGCAAATTTGGGTGAAAAACAAGATATCCATTCCTTGTGATAGCAAAAGAGTAGCCAACAAATCCTACCTGCAAAATATTTTTAAAGTTTTATTTAAGAAATCTGATATTGATGAGGATAAAAATTTTTATTGAACATTTGATATATTTCATTATTGTTAATTATGTGCAAAGCAATTTTGTTCAATGCAAGTTTTTAATAATTTTATTACAATATAAAATATACTTACTAATTATTTATAAAACCAAACCTTATATTTGTTAATAACACTGTTCTGCATCAAAATCCTCCCATGGAAGAAAATGTGATCTTTTTATGTATTTTAGTAAATTGAATATGAATCTGAAGTCCAAAATCCTCCATTACCCACAGTTTTATTTTAAAATACCACTTTTTTGCAGAAAAATGCCTCTTAGACAAACTTACTGTTACTGTTGTTTGAATAAAATATAAAACCAGAGAACTATATAATATGCTAGCAGTTTCACACAGTTAAATTTCAACCAAAATTTTAAATGTTACCTGGAAAGTTGAGCAACTCATTGCTGGTTTATTAGTTTTAATTTCATTACCAAAATAATGAAAAATAATGCTGTTGTGTGTTCAATGAATAATATAAATATTAATAATTTAATCAATAAAACTATTTTATCATTTTTCATTCAAAATTTAAAAATAAAAACGTGTGTGTAATCTTCTAGTATGAAAATTATCAGATCACATGTCTTAACCATCAACTGACCGACTATTCATCAAAAATGACCTTGAAGGATCATCTTTCGTTGATGTGGCATAATAAATAATATGGTATAAATATGTAAAATTTCCAAATGCACACCTGAAATTTTGGTTCCGTTGTCATCATGTTTTTCATGCTCACATCAATTCCCATCACTCCTACTAAAGAAGGATTTCTCTAAATGTTTAAAAATATATTCATAATTAATAAAATATTTAAGTATATCAATTTAAATTTATTAAATTAAAAATATAGTAAAGTGAAATATTCAAGAAATTATTAATTAATAATTAATAGTTAAAAACAAAAATATATTTTCTTTAATTTAGATTGTATATTTAAATAATGACTGAAAAATCAGAATATTTTAAGTTCTAATTTATAAGTCATGTGGAAGTACCCATCATGATATTTTTAGTTCATAAATGTTTACATGTGATGTTTCTTTTATTAAAAAAAAATTTTCTTTTTATTCATGTCTATCATTAATGTGCTGTCTGTGTAAATAATTGTAGTTGTTATATTTCTCTATATTTTTGATTTTTGTTTATGTATTTAAATGTAACACAAGTGGGCACAAAGTGTGAGGTAGAGATATCATGAAAAGAAGCAAGAGATATGCTTTGTCTTGTGTGAGTGGGGAACAAAGGGACTGTGAGGGACAGATAGACCAAGTGAGAAGAGAAAGGACAAATCAGGTTTGAAATTTCTAAAACATTGTCTCTAAAAACGCAAGAAGTTAGACTAGTCACCATGAGTCGTGTATTGCAGATATCACTAACACTCCCTTGATGGCTGTATTTTCATTTTTGTGTAATTAAACGTTTTTCTTTTGTGTTTTAGTGTTGACTGTTTTATCATGCGCAAAACTCAACACTCCACAGTCATATAAAATTAAACATCTAATATAATAAAGTTAAATAACTCTTGAACATTTATCACTAAGCATGTACATATTAAATTTACAGGAATATCGAAATTTGAAATTGCTAACCAGATAACAGGCTAAAAATTTCTGGAATTTTTTTGTGCTAGTTTTATGTTTCTAATTTAATTGATTAAGAAAGGAATCTGATCCAATCTTGTATTTCAGTTGATTTCTTAGAATTTATTTATCTTTAATATACAGTATTTGAATTCTATACTATAATAAAAATTTTATTTATTTAAATATATAAACATAAAAAATATACTTACATTGTCTTTAGTTTTATTATATACAGGCAATGTAACTACAGTTAACATTCCAAGACCCTGTATTGAAATCAAAATTTTGTTTTTAATGTTGCAAATTAGTCATCAATTAAAATTATTGAAATACTAAAATTAATCAATTTCTTTATAGTAATTTTGAATTAATCAATGCTCTTAAGTGGGTAAAGTTTACAGAGTGCCTAGTTAATGGGATAAAGTAAATAAGCCCTTCCTTCTACTTTCCGTCCTTATCTACATTTACACTAATGTTTTTTTTTTTTAACTGTCTACATCTGAAGATGTGGTAAGTTAAAAGATGAATATTTTTTAAACTATACCCACTGTTTACCTTTCAACAGTGGACTAATCAAACAGATTTCTACCCCAGGCAGTGGAGAAAAAACATGAAAAATTTTAAAACTATTTTTCCAAGCTTTATTTCTTATTTCTCTTTCAGAAAAAAATTTTGTAAACAGTTATCTCTAGTAAAGAAAAGTCTTTTTATTATTACATAATTAATTTTCTATGTGAATAATTTTTCGTGGTAGTTATAGGCTAGTTTTTGGTGATACCCCTTAAAGTTATTTGACGATTATAGTTGTTCCTCACCACTGCCACATGATCGCCCTTGACGACTATAGTCATCGCTCACTACTGAGTGGTTAAAAATCTATTGGTTAATTCAATTGGGTAATTTTGAATACTATTGTATATATTTTTTACTGTTTAATATTGTAATTCTCTTGATACTAAATGATAAAACTAGAAAAGAATTAAGTATAATTCAGTAACCTTTATGGTGTTGCAAGAATGTTAACTGTATTTTGGGCTACACAAATATTTTTATTTATTTATTTTTCTTCATTTTTCTGTCCAAACTGGCAACCTGATGCAATAAAGGGTGGTAGTTAAGGGAGCATTAGATTGCAACAAGGCTTTTTTTCCCTCATGTGGAGCTTAGTTAAGTTGTAAGTATTTGTTTGTGCAACAGTTTTATAACTGTGTGTCTTGATTAGTTAGAGGACAAGGACAGAATCTGTGTCCATTGAAGGCATTAATCATAGAACTTTTGATTGAATGTGATAAAATGATTCCCTACAAGCGAGCAACATCCCCAGAGGAGTATATTTGTGTGGCTGTCTGCCATTTTGTTGTATATTTATACTGTATATAGAACGAAAACGCCTTTCTTCTTTCCTATAATCCTTCTTCCTTCCGCTTTTAACCCTTTCTTGTCACGTGACAGGAACTGTAATATTCATGGGTCCTGATTGGACAATCTCCAAAAGGGACAGGACAGGGGTCCTGCTTGAGCGAACCATTAGACAGAGATGAGGAGAAAGGACAGTTTTTGGTTTGCCACAAGAGAGAGAGGTCGTGTGAGAGTGACCGGAAGACAGTGTATAAGGCAGAAGGTGAAAGAGAGAAAGGGCCAAGATAGACAAGATAAGAACGGAGACAAAGAAATAATTGGGATAGCCATTCCGGAGAGTTCCAAGGAACCACCTCGGCACACGTTCGATAATAACTGCTTTGCCTCTTTTAGATGCAAATAGATGATATATTCACTGTGCACGAAGTGAGAACCATCAATATTCACCCAGTTCAAGACCCACAGATCTAGCTACCAGTAAATTTCCTAACTAACCTTCCTTCCTTCTTTATTGTAGTTATAGTATTAGGTTTAAGTTTAATTATAAGTTTTAGTTTTAATCGGGATTGTATGTATATGTTAAATTTTTGTAACAAAATTCTTCCAACTGTAACACTGTGCTGAGTAATAACTGTAACGAACACAACACTGATAAAGATTTTTTGTGGACAGTTAAATTTTTGTCACAGGAAGATCAAACAAGAGGGGAGATGTTGTAATTATATCTGTATATAAGGGTCTCCGTGATGGGCATTCCATTCTCTGTCAACTCATTCAACTAATAAAGCAACTTGGTCTTTTTTTTTGTCGTATTATCATGTGTTTTACACTCACACAATGTCACATTTGAATTTTCTGGATAAATTTAGATACTGAACTTTGTGACAAATTTTTTGCAGTGTATCCAGCATAAAGAGTTCCAGGTGTAAGCAGGACTGTACTTCAGTCCTGCTTACACCTGGAACTTAATAATTCTTATACCGATAAGTTTCAATTTTCATAATTAATACAATCCAAACATCAGTAACCTTTTAAATACAGCCAGGAAGTTGTAATCTTATATTAATTAATTTTCAATGTTATTTCCCTATGTCTCACTTTTTTGGACCACCGGTATAGTGCCTACCACAGTAAAATATGTGCGCATAGAATGCACACTGTAGAGTGTAGGAGTAGTGAAAATATTTAGAGGGGGCCTCAAAATTGAATTGCGCCTGGGGCCTCTCAAGTGCTAAATCCACCACTGTCCATAATGGGCCTCTTAGTGCCCACAGACAGAAAGAGTAAAATAAAATTTAAGGAAGTTAACAGATTAAATTAATAGAATAAAGAAAAATATATTAATATAATTAATGAAAAACAAATAATATTACTCAATATTCTGAAGTAAAACAAGATATTTTTTGATATTGATTTCAAATAAAACTTCTAAATAAAATAAGTCTAATATCTTATCTTTCTTACTGATGGATCCATGTAGAAGTTTGTCCAATGATATTCTCTTGCTATATTTAAAGCCATTGGTCTGCTTAGTACTTTGAGATATTCCTAAATAAGACAATTGATATATCAAAAATTAAAATTGAAATTAGAAAAAAAAAATTGACTATCATCTAACTTGTCAATCTTTCAAAACTATAAGAGATATTAAAATTCAATAAATTTATTAAATAATTTTATTTTAAAATGACTTTCTGTCAGTAATTACAAAAAATTACAAAAGGGTTATTTAAATTCTGTAAAATTATTTAAAATATATTTTTGAAAAACAATTCTCTTTTATTACACAAGTTACACATAAATACAGCTCTCCTTTGATAGTCTGATGTTTTTTAATCCGACATGCTCAGTAGTCCGATGCACCTCCCGTCAAGATACCCATCCCCATTACGTGTCTGCTTGCACAGAAGCATGTCGCAACATGAATCTCCCCATCCAATTCTTACACGATGACACACATTTTGTGTGTTTTCTGTGAGCAGTTCTGTTCGAACAGTTGGAGTAGGGAATATTGTAAGCTACTGCTAGCAAAACAATGCAAAATATGTAATTATTTTCGGTAATCTGGACACTTTTGGTAATCCAACCCCCTTTGGTCCCATACTTGTCAGACTATTAAGGGAGAGCTGTAATATATTTACAATATAAACAATACATTTTAATGCATTTTTAATAAAAATTTATTTCTTTTTCATTCATATTACATGCATGGTATTACATGCATGTAAATTTTATTATTTGTCTTCTTAAAATTTCTAAAATGATGTAATACATACTTATAAAAGTATTATCTCTCTGATTCTGTATGATTGCATAATTATATTTTCTTCTGGTTTTGACAATTTATTTAACTTCTTTTACTTAACACATTTGTAGTGCTACTTTTGTAATGAATTATCTTATGATACAAAACCAAGCTACATACAAAAAACTTAATCTTTTATTGTTTATGTACATGAGATATGATGTTACACTACTGGATGAACATAGAATTGAGAACACGTGCATACAGAGCGAGGTCCGAATCCAAAAGTGAGGTCATAGGTCAGGTTGCCAGATCTGTTCAGTTCAGAGTTCCTCCTGGTGGTTACTTTTGGATTTATAACCAAAGCTGTCACCACAACATTGCACTAATTAGGGCCTTACAGAGCCATATGATTGCCTAACATCGCTATAACCAATGTAGTATCACTGAAGGTTAAATTATCCTGGCTTCATAAGACATTATTCTACATCCTAGTGGTGGCCTTTCGCGCACATCTATAAAGTTGGCTCCGACTGTCAGCAGTTGTATGGCTCTGTAGCTGTAAGCTATATTTTTGTAAATATTAATTTAAGTTTAGTTTAGTCTCTTCTTTCTACCCTTTGTCCTATTGTTCTATTTCCTTCTAGAACTTTCTTATCTATTTCTTATCTAAATCCCTGTCCCTTGGGTAGGATGACCAGTTCAGAGAAATGTGAAGAACAAAGAGTGAACAGGACCCTGAGGACAAAAGAGACAATGGACAAGGCATTCTCTTGCTGGACTGCAAAGTATACAGACGTGAGGAGAATGCTCCGAGTCGCGTTAGCAACAACCAGAGACCTCAGAAGTACGTTAAGAGACAGGATCCTGTTTTAAGATAGAATCAACAACAGTGAAAGGAAAAATCTTAAGTATAAAAGAAAACGAGTCAAATTTTTGGAGAACATCGTGTATCCCACCCAGCAGTAAGAATAGTGCCAATATGCCAAACAAAATCCTGGGTATCCCTGTTCCTATTGTATATATTATTTCTTCATTCTCTTGTTTCTATCCTTTTCTTCCATTATTGTTAAGTTAGTGTATAAGATTAGTTTTAAGGTCGGGCGTCATATTATCATGATCGGGATTGGTACCACACATTTGGATATAACAAACTATTGTCCTAGCAATAACTTCGCATACCATTGTAATATATTGTGACATTGGAATTCCCAAAGAACAATCTGTATTTATACATGAAATTGTTTACTTGTAAAAATATATCAATTATTATTTTTACCGTATCCTGTCTGCCTTTGTGGTAAATTTCAATATCACGCGTACCTTCACCGCTCTGAATGGCCCTAATTACTATTACTGCCAGCATGTTGTATGGCTTTGTACGGTCCTACTAAGTACAACCACCAGTGTGTCGGATGGTGGTTAACATGTTAATGCAACCTCCCTTCATGCCCGCTATATAAATTTCAGTTTTTATGTTCATTATCTCACAAAACTTAATGACAAACTATAAATATTTTAAAATTATTAAATAAATAAACTTTTGAATAACATTCTTATAATTTGCAAGTTAAAATAGTTTTGCAAAATTTACATATTAATTAAGCATTTACAATTTATCCCTTATCCCCTATAATTCTGATTCCTCATTCATTTTATTTTTTCTCTGCATTATCTTCATTACCAAAATTTCCAAGTAAAAGTTTTGTGCATATAGTCATATAATTTATGCAAGTTTACATCATAATTCATAGGCTTGCTTTGTAAATCAGTAATAAAATTATGTAATTTGTAGGGACACTTAATAATTAAAGTATTCCAAATCTAAGAATGAAATTAAATAATTCATTTTAAAGCAATACAATGAAAGTTTAAAATCTAAAACAGTGGTTCACAAAGTGGGTGCTACCGCTCCCGTGGCAATGAGTAAATTTAGGGGGCAAAAAGGAGTGAGTGGAAGGGAGTGCTGCAGGCAAGATCCTGACCAAATGGTGATAATAGACAAGGATTGGAGCATTGCCACCTTTCCCTTTCTTCTATTAAAATGGGTAAGAAGAAACAGTGCATTTAATGGTTTCCAGATGTGGAGAACAATATATGATAAGGATACAAAGTGTGAGGATCATAGAAGTTTTTCTAAGAATATTTCCAAGCCTTACTCACATAAAAGAAAGTGATTTAGGGGGGATTAGGGTATGGTTAGCTATAAGTTTATGGAACCAATGGATGGTGGCTCAAAAAAGTTTGGAAATCACTGATCTAGAATTACAAAATACAGTTGGTCTCTGATTCACTGTGTGACGTCATTGTCATAAAGCAGGACACAAAATATTAAACCCATTTCTAACTATTATATTCTTTAAATTTTTTAANTCTCCAATAAGTTATACAATAGTTTTTACATAAAATTAAAAAATTTCTAATTATTAATCTTAGTATAGGATGCCAGTTTAACTGCTTATCTTTAGGCCAAATTCTATAATTTAATTAGTATAAATAGCTTTCATTATAGTCCAAAAATAATTTTGTATTTTCCTGACAAAGTTCTTTAAAAACAACAAAAGTACCAGCAAATATTCTTACAGCTAGTGTATTTCTTCCTACAAAAGTACTGTGTTTTCTTTAACATCCTTATCCATTCATAAAACATGAAATAAATCACATATGGATTAAATTTAAAAAATTTTTTAAAAATTTAAAGAATATAACAATTAGAAATGGGATTAATATCTTATGTCCCACTTTATGACAATGACATCACGCAGCAAATTAAATCGGGTGGTGCATTTGATTAATGGAACTTTTTTAAAATGGTCTGATTTACAACAGCTGAAACAGTAATCTCAATAATCCCTAATAAACAAGTAATCCCTCCATTTATGCCAATTATTCTGAGTGAGGACAAACTATTTTATATATGTATACCCAATACATATACGAAAAGTATCAGATTATCATAAGGACAATATTTCAGAATAGTCTCCCTGATAGTGAATAAAAAGAGAAAAGACTAACTGGATGAAGGTGCATTGACGGTGTTCTTTAAATGTAAATTAGTGTGTAGATTGAAAAGCCCAGGGGTAGAAAATAATATTGTCGATATTTACGTCTCCTTATTAAAGCAGGATCAGTTTGCTATCTTATGTGTATAATTCCCATCTTACTGCTGTCTCAAGCTAAGGGAATTACACTATATTAGTCTGATTTGACTTCTTTTTTTTTATGTTGCTTATTTATTTAGAATTTTTAAAATTAATTTTCAATAAAACAAAAAATTTTCACCTGTCTATATGAATGTATTTTTTTAAATTTATCTATTTTAGATACATGAAAATATATTTTTAAAAATATTCATATAGAAATGTTAATTAAACTGTTTGAAAAAATGCATATTCATTTAAATTTTGAATGTGTTCTGGTAAACGTATATTAAAAACTGAGATCAAACTACACTCAAAATATATAAAAAAAATTCACACTTTTTGTATATTTGTATGTCTCAAGAAGTTTATTAGCTGGGTGACCAGAAAAATCATCTGTGCACAGAGAGGGCATCCAGATTTTTGGAATATGTGGTCCCCAGTGTTCCAAAAATCTGGGAGAACACTGAAATATTCCCAGTGCTTTGTGGAATTTTCCATTTGTAATACATCATGCCAAGATGTCAGGACTCAAAAATTGAATTTTGGAGGAGATTTTCAGTTTTTAGAATTTCAGATAAAGGATTCTCAACCTATACTAATAAAATATAAATTATATTTCATCTTTAATTAAGATCTTTCTAGATCCATCAATTAATATAAACAGTGAATAAGACAAATTTTACCATATCATATAAAACCCTACTAAACACGAGTTAGGTCTAATAGTTTATACCTGACCAATGGGCTGGCCATATGGAGTTTCCCAGATTTTATTTCATGTATCTAAAGCCTTGTGGCTGTCCGCCATTTTTGTATATACATAGTTATAGTATTTAGATTTAGAATTCTTTGTTCTTTCCCTTCCTTCTTCTTCGTTCTACTAATGACCATTTCCGGTCACCCGACAGGAGCGGGAAATTTGTGGGTCCTGATTGGTGGCTTATCGACGTGAACAGGGAGGGGCCCTGCCCGTGGGGTAGAGAAGGTGAACAAAGGGGTGAGAATGACACTTTTTGCCCGGGCGACGAAGAGAAGAGGTTGCGAAAGTATCGTCGGGACATTAAGTCGGACCTCGAGGACAAAGAACAAGCCTAGTATCGAGCTTGTATCGAGTACCGTGCTGAGTATCGAGTAGTCCTAAAAGAAAAGAAAAGGACTAGTGACTTGTCCAATAAGAAATAGTGGTCTACAAAACCCAAGTGACAATTATCATACCAGGAATGTTGGATATTCCAATCGACAAAATCCCCACAATCATCAGAAACCACAATCAGGACCTCCTGTGCTAAATACCGGTATACTTTTCCTTCCTTCATTTTCCTCTCCTTAGTGTAGTGTTAGATTTAGTTAGTTATAAGTTAGTTATAAGTTAGTAATTAGAATCCGTATCGTGAGAACAACTCATTGTAAGAATCCGAACGAGAACAGAGACTTGTTATATATATATCTATCTGTGTGTGTGTCTCTAACAGGCATCACTGTATTACCTGTTAATTCTGGTTGTAATAAACTATTGTTTAGTTAGTATTTGTTGGAATAATTGTCTCGTACATCCTTAACTTTCACAGCCTAAATACAGGCAGTCTTCAATAGAAAAGTCTTTACAGAAGGAACCAGATCACCCTTATTTTGCATTGTCCAATCCCATCAGATAATTGTTGTCAAGTTAAGAAGACTTTCAGTCATCTTAGTCAAGATATCAGAGAAGATGTTAATTGTTATTGATCATCGAAGCTAAAACATCTTAAGCTACGCTTAAAACATTTTTTAAAGAAAAACAAACTTGGAAATGTTTATCGATTAAAATATGACATCAAAAAATTATAAATTGTATTATTTTAACAAAAAAAGAATATAAGAAACAATTAGTAAATAAGTACACAAAATTATTAAAAACATTTAATACACTATACTCACTTGAATTCTTGTTCTGATAGTTCCCATTGAAGAGATTATAGTGAAATAACCTAACAAAATCATAAAATATATTTTATTTTAAAAATTATACATCTGAAATCTATCGCATTTTCATCATTATTGGCTTGATTTTACTTACAAAAATAATAATAATTTTCCAATAAAGTTTTTTATCTATAGTAACAACATTTTTAACACTTTAAAATAAATATCAAGTTAATAGTTAAACTATTAAACTGTACTTTAAGCTGAAATAAATTTTGTGTAAGTTGAAATGTATTAATTAGTTTTTATCACAGTATATTTTCTTTAATATTGGAATAACAAGCTATATATACAAAGTTTCACAGATCAGAAATTTGTTTTATTTAATATACATTTCTGATCTGTGAAACTTTGTTGCAGTATCTGTAAAGCCAGTCTAATAAGTCCTGATAATAGAAAATATGTACTAGTAGACAGAAAATTTATATTATCATAAATCAAGGACATTGAGGCATATTAATTTAACGATATTTACATGTGACTACTGGAATAATGAAGCATATAAAACAAAAAGAAAGAAAGGGGTAAAACTAAATATAAAGGTTAATTTTAACTGTAAAAATTTAAAAATAAATGTTTACAGTTAGTAAAACAGTAGAGGGTACAGGGGGTAAGCTACAGTTAGGGGGTAAAACTAGTAAAACTAAGTTTTACTAGTTTAACCCCCAACTGTAGCTTATCCCCTAACTGTAGCTAGTAAAACTGAGTTTTACTAGTTTTACCACCATTTACCTTTTTGTTTTAAATACTTCATTATTCCAGTAGTCACATGTAAATATCATTTATGTGTGACAAATATTAATGTTATTTCAGTTTTAACAATTGTACAATAAGAACTGAAGAGGGATAAATAGCCCAAAATGCATCTCTCTTCCGTTGAACAAAGTAATTCTTGTGCAAAATAAAGCCTATTTTATTCATCAAATAGTGTTCCTGTGGGATTAGTTCTACATAGCAATTTTGTACTTACTCCCAAAGAATGTTTATATTAATTTAAATTATGTAAAACAACATAAAAATTTATGTTAAAATAATACTTTATTTATCGAAAAGTGTTATTTCAGTATAACGAAATTTCTCCATAGCATATTTTTTCAGATTTAGCAACTTTGTTATACAGAAGTTTGATTATACTTTAGGAAAAAAATCAAATATATACAGTATTTGATTTGTTTTCTAAAGAAGTACAATGTCTGAATAGATTTTTTTTTACAAACTCTTTTATGCAATCTGTCTTAGTCTTATGTAACATGTTTTGAACATATTGAACATAATTTATAAGTCAGAATGCATTTTATTTTCTTTAATTCTAAAAATAATGTTTTTAAACATCTGGAAATTAATTTTGAATCCAATTTGCACACCATCTTAGTTTGTGTCAGCTTAAAAGATTAATTAATTAAAAATAATCTTACTAATATAATTGTAAAAAATTATTTTAGCAAGTTTTTATAATGGTGTAAAAATTACTAATAATGGTATGCCTTATGTTAAATAGTAATATAATGTTAAGTTATCAATTTTTTGTAATCAAGACATTTAATCTCTATACCTCTGTAAGTGCAAGCTAGAGTCTTTAGAGGAATGTATGGAACAGGATGAGCACCAATGGCATAAGTAAATATTCTTACCTGAAATATTAAAATTATTTCAAATTAAATTAATCAAAATGATATTGAAAAATATCAAACCCAATAAAAATATATAAGTATCATGTTTACATTATTGAACTTATTTATTTATCAAATAAAAATATATTAGTTTTTTCCTCACCGAAAATTTTAAGATGATACAATTTTATAAACAATATAATAAAATAGAATAAATAGTTTTAAAATAAGTATTTTTGCAATTTTTATTTAAGGCTTTGTCAGATTAAAAAAAATTCAGTAAAAATTGGAACACACAGTTCATTGAATAAATTTTAAATATGTGGAAATCTTAATTTAAAAATCTATTTGATTTTCAATTAAACACAGCACTAAATAAAATAACCAAAAAGTTATTATTAGTTTTATTTGTATAGAAAAAAATTAATACTTGACACCTGATTTTATTTGACTTTCTATCCTATACATAAGTTTAAATGTTTTTGTACAAATTGGTAGTATTTTATGTCTATTCTAAATTCAAACTGAAAATACATTCACTGCCAAAAGTTAACCACGGAGCAGAAGATATTCATGTCCAAAAAGCAATCTGCATTTGAGAGACTGCAATTCACTGCAGAGGTAGATGGAAGTATGCAAATATGTTACGTTACTATCAATCATGGTTATGTGTCACGAAATATGCAAAGCAGGCAGTTGTATAAGAAGCCAGCCTTCTGAAGTGTGAGAGGAGTTGCATGCAAGTGCAGAGAAAAAGTGTGGAGAACTGTCGTACAATTAGTATGCATGATTGACGTGTTTCTATGACTTCTAGAAGACGAATGACAGATAGTGAGCGCTGGCAGTGTGTGGGACACCTTGAAGCAGGACAATCAATCACAGATGTTGCTCTTTTCTTTGACGTTCATCATTCCATGGTCATGGAAACAATTCTAAACAAGCCAAACAGTTGTCCGAAGACCCATGGCCGGTCACCCAAGAGTTGACCCCTGCAGAAAATCGCTATATTGCTCTTGTAGCCAAGCATAATCGAAGAGCAACCTCTACATGTGTGACATTGATGGTTGCAGCAGCCATTGGTAAAATGATATCTGCTACTACTGTGCACCGAAGGCTACACATAAATGGACTGTACGCCCAGGTACCACGAGTTTGTATTCCACTATCTGTCCAATCCAGAGGCACATGATTAAAGTGGTGTCGGCAACATGTGAATTGGACTGTGTCTGATTGGGGCAACGTTATGTTCATGGATGAGTTGCAATTTTCCCTAGAGCTAGATGACAAATATGTAAGAGTATAGAGAGAAAAAGGCACATGCAATCCACTCCAGAATATTATCGAGCATCACGCATTCCGAGGTGGAAGCATTATGGTGTGGGCAGGCATTCTGTTGGGATATTGCACTGACCTGCACATCTATTGAGGGGGTTCTGTGACAGCTGTCTGGTATCAGAATGAAGTCCTCAAACCCATTGTGAAATTGTATGTGACAGCTGTTGGTCCTGCTTTTGTTTTAATGAATGATAACGCATGACCCCATAGAGCTGCCCTCATCAATGACTACCTCAAGAGTGAGGGAATCGTGTGTATGGATTGGCCAGCGTATTCGCCAGACCTCAATCCTATTGAGAATCTTTGGGATGCCCTCAGCCGTGCTGTGTGTGCACGTTTCCCCCCCCCTGCCACTCTCACAGAGTTGCAAACTGCTCTTTAGGAGGAATGGCACTTATTTGACTCTGGAGTGGTTGATCACCTCATGGAAAGCATGGTTACACACTGTAAATTTTGTGTAAGGATAAGGGGTGACCATTTACCCTATTAATGTTGGTTTTGTTTGTTTGTTTGTTTTGGATTTAAACATCGTTTTGTTAAAGATTCCAATATGATTTCATCTTATACTTTATGAAAATTCAATATTGTTTTCATTTTTCTATGTAATTCTTTGTGTTGTTTCATGCATAAACATATTTGCTACTGTACCGCTGCATTTTGTGTCAAACACAGCTGTATTTGTCGATTTTTTCACAGTTTATCACTCCATTCTTAACTTTTGGCAGTGAGTGTATTTGTAAATACTGTGGAACCTCTGTATACGACCTTAATCTGTTCCTGATGTTTGGACTTATACCGAATAGGACGTATACCGAACAACCTTTCCATAAGAAGTAATGTAAAAATGATTAATCCATTCTCATGTAAATAAAAAAATGGCTGGCTTTAAACACCTCGCTTTCCTGGCTGGCTAGTTCCTGCTTGATTTTTCATGAGATCAGCATGTATCTTTTTACCTTTCTCGCAAATAATTGCTTCTGATACGCTGTCTCTAGCACATTGTTTTTCAGTTATCTAAATCAAAAGCAATTTCTTACCATGATCTAATGTCTTCGATTTCTGTTTCAAAATTGATTTAACCCCTTTCGCAATGTTAGATATTTTTCACTATATTTTTTCGATATCGTCATTCTCAGAATACAGTATGCAACAGTTAAAATCTCGAACACACATGCCACCTTCATATTTCTCAACAATTTCTTTTTTTCAGTTCCATTGTGATTCTAGTAAACTTTTTTAGTTTTCTATTGCTTTTCATTTGCCTTTTTGCAATTCATGATTAATAAAAATAATAAAATTTTACTTACAAATTAAAATCAGAAGAAATTTAACAAAGTTATAAACTGTGGCACCATGAACATCTAGTCTGGTCTAGTATACCGATAGTGCTACTTGTTCATAGATAGCGCGTATAATTGAATTAAGTCGTATACNCCCTTGTGATTCTAGTCATTTTTTTAGTTTTCTGTTGCTTTTCATTTGCCTTTTTGCAATTCATGATTAATAAAAATAATAAAATTTTACTTACAAATTAAAATCAGAAGAAATTTAACAAAGTTATAAACTGTGGCACCATGAACATCTAGTCTGGTCTAGTATACCGATAGTGCTACTTGTTCATAGATAGCGCGTATAATTGAATTAAGTCGTATACTGAAGAAAAGTCGTATACCAAGCAAAATTTGTTTCGTCCAAACAGGACATATTCCGAATTGGGCATATTCTAAAGCAGACGTATACTGAGGTACCACTGTATTTCTCATTTATATTTTTAAAAGCTTAAGTTATTCTTAATCTATTTGGTATAAAATGATAAAAATGAAAATATGTATTTTGGTTTCAAGCTTTTTTCAATTTTTTATAATTGTTTCTAAAATAATAATTATATAAAATTAAACAATTTTTAATTTTTTGTAATGATTTTAATTATAAAATATAATTCATTTTTGTAATATGTGAAAAAAAACTAAAAATAATCAACTTCAACTTGAATGATGTGCAGATTTTACATCTGACGGATTATTTAAGATATAGTTATATTAAATTTTCAAGTATAATATGAAAACATAATTTTAAAAAAATCATGATTTATTCCAATACTATTTACTGTTTTAATTAAATAATTAAACAAATAGATATTTAATTATATCTGCAGTATTTTAAAATTAATTTCAACACAAACTTTACTTTTTTAGAATCTTCTTTATAATGTTTCAAAACCTCCCAGGCTTCATCTGTACCACCATCACTTAAGATAACAATCATCTGATTACAATTAGACCCTTCCCATGGTTGCTTGTCTTTTTCAAACTATTAAATAAAAAACAATTAATTATTATGTGATAACTTTTGCAATAAAAAATAAAAATAACTTTTGCTAATTTGTCAGTAAACTTTTGTAGTGCTCCGCCCCTTATTGGTTGTTGTTAGTAATGTATATGAATATTATTTGTATAGTTAATGTCTTTTGTACTTAGTGTAAGATTTATTTTGTCACATTGTATCAGGTTTCTTTGTGGTCGTCTGTTCGGACACATGTCCTTCTTACTCTCTACCTCCCTTCTTTGTGTGAAACCGGACATTTTGAATGGCTACCGAAAAGGTCAGGTGAGATCAGCAAACCAAGGGTACAAATAACAGGTCCACGTGTGAGAGAGCACCCTTTTTTTTGTTCTTTCTTGGAGGAGTTCCGTTCGTGAAAAGTTCGGATCAGCGCCATTGAGAAAGGCCAAAACCTACCAGAGTGAGAAAGGAGATTCATTTCAAACATCGAGGGAAGGAGATAGAATCCAAATTCATCCATGGTGTACACAGAAGGAATAATGTGGACAGTACAATTAAGGAAGCTAGAGTACCCGAGGTATCGACGGAAGCGAAGATTTCCCCACTAGTAACAGACATTGGTCCAATTCCCAATCATTTAAGTGCCGGATTTCTAGTGAGTAGACTGTTCTGAAAATTCTTCACGTGTTATTGTAAACGTGTACAAACCTTGTTACACTATGCGAAAGAGGGAGGAGAGTGAAGGGACTAAGAATATTGAATTCGGGACACGTGATTGTGTAAATGAGTTTTTGTTGAGAGTTCATATGAGCCCTCAGTTGCTGAACGCAAAACCCGTACCAAATAAAGAGGTATTTTGTAAGCCGACCATTTGTTTGTGTTAGCTTGATAGACCTCAGTCTAGCTTAGTGCAAATCACTTTATTAAGGCTTTATTCCTTGTTCCTTGGTCAAGATTGTTGGTTTCATATTTGGTATAAACATTTTAGTTTGTAATATGATCAGTACATGTGCAAAATAGAATCAAACACCAACTTAATATAATATTATTCTATGCATGGCTTGAATATTGAAGTAATACAATAAATACAAATAGTAGTATTGAACAGAGCTACAACCCATTATGGGCAATTATTATTTTCTTTTTTTTTTTTGTTGTTTCGGTTTTTCCCTAACCCCTTTCGTTTTGTTTCGTGGTACCACCCTTCCCCAGTTAATCATGTGTTGGCAGCCTGATTGGCCAGTTGAGGTCACATGGGGTGAATATCCAGTTAGTATGATATATAGGGACGTGACCCACGTGGAGTAAGGACTTTTGTTCTTTGGTTTTCCTGCTTGTTCCTGACTGCGGTGTTCCTGCCAGGTGTGGGTAATCGAGGTGCTGAACACGAGAAACTGGAGAAAGAAGAGATACAAGAGCGAAGAAATCGGTTTTCATGAGAATAGAAACTGTGTGGTGATGAAGTCGTTCCAGTGAGAGAAGATCAGCGGAAGATTAGTAGGCACCGATTAGTCTTCAATCGTTTGTACGCGGCCAAGATTTTTTTTCGTGAGTAACGGTTGTTATATATTCTCTTTGTCACATGCTGTTTTGTCATCACGCTTTGCCACGTGTCGCGAGTTCCCATAGTCAAGGGAGGAAAGAGAGGAACAAGGTGAATGTACTGTACATAGCATTGACTCGGATATAACACAATTTTGTTATTAATTCACGCCTTGTGTGAATATCACGTTGTACTTAATGAACTTTAATTAAAACCCCAGTTATTGTTGAGCCGACTTGTCTGTGTGTTTTGTATTCAGCCCTGCAGACCTCGCTCTCCAGGGAAACTCCACAAGCTCAAACAATACTATTCAGCATCAATACAATTGATTTAGAGATGTGTTTCTGATTGCTACAGCATCAATTGTATTGATGCTGTAGCAATCAGAAACACATCTCTATATGGGAGTCTCTCCTCACAACAACCTTGGAACCATGCAACACTCCCACGCTTGACCTGCACAACATATAAATCGCATCTGCTGTCACATCATTAACATGGATCTGTATCCATTCATGCATCACATGATATCATAACATCAAGCATAATCAAAGTTTATAGCATGCTTATAACGGTTTTTAATCCTTAATTTGTAATGTGAGTTCCACTCACATTAGAACATTTGTATTTGACTTTAAATTCTGTTTGCTTGACAACAAACAAGTTTGTTGAAAGTACTAGCAAAAATAAAGTACTCAGTGAGTTTTCCTTCCTTTGATTTATTATTTGGCATGAGGATCAAGCTCTATTGTGTTAAAAGAAGTATTAATTCACACAAGGTACAATTGACAAAAATCACAACAAAGTTTGGTAAATATTAAAGAACCCAATATCAAACTTATTTTAAACTAAAATTATACATAGAAACAAAGTACAAAAATAAAGATTAATCATAAAGTTCACTTTAATTTCAGTACTGAGTAAAATCCCAACTTCCCTAAACCTATTACCAGTGTGCAATGTGTATAAGATATATACAGTGGGTGACAAATGTTTTTAAAGTATCTCGCAGTTCTTCCTTAGGTCAACTAGCTTAGGAATGCTTCCGAACGGAGCATAAGCCATTCGACAGGATCGAACGTCATTTCGACGAAGTCAGTCTCACTTGACATGCACGGTCATGAGCTGGTGGAGGTAGTCATGGGTCGGCATCTAATAGGGACTGCCAGGCCAGCGAAAGATTTAGCTCCTCCTTCCTGTTGAAGCATGCGGCTACTTGGCTGGCTTTATAAATGGCTATGGATTCTAGCCATTTAAAGTGGTCCTGGTGGGGTGTGCTGATGATGACTGTAGCTCTATCAAACTGTGCTTTGATATATGGATCAGATCGGACACATACATAGCAAGTGCAGTGGTGAACTGCCTATGCTGGATATCCACTTGGTGTTCCCTTACGGGTATTTAAGGAAATGTTCTTTAAATACCCTTAGTTACTTGTGTGTCCTTAAATATCAAGCATTCCTTAAATACCCTTACGAGTATTTAAGGAATGCTTGGTAGAACCAATGTATAAGAAGTCCTTGCCCCACCTCTTCCCTTTAAGTTAGATGGAATAAATGCCAGGAAGCCTGGTGCGATCCAGAAGGTCTTTTTCATTCCATAGAGATGTCCTACATGTTAAAAACTGTGGGACATCTCCTGCATGCTACTCGCATCCGATGTTTGCTGGCTATCTGTGTATGCACCGCTCTAAGATACAGGTTAAAACGTGATGGGAGCACGTGGCAAACCATCAGGTTCCTGGTCGGCATTACCACCCATAGTGGAGGTGAGTTTCAAGCTCCGTTTCCGCACACTTCCAATTCCACATGCTGTTTAGAAGCAATCCTAAGCTAGTTGACCTGAGGAAGAACTGTGAGATAGTTCGAATATGTTTGTCACCCGTTGTATGTTATGTATGTAAACCTCCAGGGAATAACCTACACTGAATTGCCCCTTGACCTACTTAGACGACCCCACACCTCTGACCTTTGTCGTGTTCCTTTGTCTCAAGTCAGTCATGAGTTAGCTGTTGTAACACTTAGACCTGGAGGCACACGTTATGTTTGTATTATCACATAGTTGCATTTCTGTTATAATAAAGCTAATTATATACGTTAACAAGTTATCATTTATTTTACGGACACAACACTGTATATATCTTATGTGTGTTGTGTGCCTGTAACAGGTTTAGGGAAGTCGGGAATAAAGATTAAGCAAAGTAAGCCAATAGAAATGAAATAGAAATGAGAAAAATGAAAGACTACTAATTGACCGACTGATCAATCAGAACATTCAATATCCTTACTTATATATTGGCCAGTTCTTAACTGTTTCTCTTCCAGAGAGTAAAAAGTAAAAACTCCCCTTTGCTTCAAGAAGTGATATATTTCAATTCCAAAAGATATTATTTCACCTGTACAACAGCCTCAGATTTACTGTCTGTTCCGATATTTGTACAAGGGAATAGAAATTTTGTCTCTTAAGACAATCAAAATCCACTTGACTACTTATTTGTTTTCTTCCTCTTATCTGTTCTCTTTATTCTTTAATTGTTAGAATTTCATTATAATCTGTTAAGCAGTGAAATATTGCTTTTCAATCTACTACTGTGGAACTAAATGTGTGGAGTAATACTGAATACTTAATAAATTATTGAAAATTATTAACTTTCAATGTGGATAATTAATTAATTTATTGATTGAAGAAGTTGGTGTTTCATTTTCTGTCACACATACGTGGGGGACCAAAAAAACCAGATTTTTTGTATAAAGACTTTATTTATTAACTTTTTTACAAAATTCCTTCAGTCACCTTCAAAGTACTCTCCATTAGATGCAATGCACATGTCAAGTCTTTTCCCCCACTGTTTGAAGGATCTCTAGAATTCTTCAACCTTGATATCATCCAGTGCCCTTAGGGAAGCTGTTTTTACTGCCTCCACATCATCAAAATGCTTCCCTTTTACATTTTTCTTCATTCTTGGAAACAGAAAAAAGTCGCACGGGGCTAGGTCTGGTGAATACGGAGGGTGGGGAACGACAGGCCATCCCCAAGAGGCCAAATAGTGGGTCACTCGTAAGGCCGTGTGTGCGGGGGCATTGTCGTGATGAAGGAACCAGTCACCTGATCACCAAAGTTCCGGGCATTTCCTTTGCACATCCTCTCGCAGATGTCTTAAAACATTTTTGGCAGATTTTTTCAATGTTTTCATTGTTTCGAGATGTTGAAGGACACCCAGAACTTTGCAGGCAGAACAAAACAACAGTAAGAGAAACACAACACTACGCTCAAACATAAACCTACAAACTGATGCTGTCTGCACAGCTGTTTCGTGAAAGTCTCTACTAACCCCATCTAGCGGGAGAACTCTCTAGTACTTCTACAAATGGCAGCATGCTCTCAGTTCAATTTTTTTTCAGTCCCCCTTCATATTAATATCAATGATAATTATTTTCATTAGACTGATTATAATGATAGTACAATAAAGACTTTTTAAAATTTGAGTATTTTAATAAATGCCACTTACTGTTCTGAATTCTTTAAAAGCAAATTCTAAAGCAGCAGACAGATTAGCCATTTCACCTTCTACTAAATCATTAATTGCTTCTGATAACAGCTGAAATACAAAAATATAAAAAAAATTAATGATAAAATTTCAGAAAAAAAATACTTATTTCTTTTTTCAATTGAGTGTTCAAAAAATTGCTAAATGGATAAATATATTTTTTTTAATAATGTACTTCATTTTCATCACATAATAAATACAGCAAATCATTTACTAGATATGGTATCATCCATAAATTATATAATACTGTTTTTATACTTTCCAATAATCATCCCACCTTCCTATAATGCTCTAAAATCATCACACATACTTTACCCCCAAGCTTATGTAATGCATATTCTCAATCTACTCACTTAATTGTACTGAGGAATAATACACACATGGAGTACCAAACATTACATTTTATGAATTACATGTATAACATATAAAGTAGTGACATAAACATTATGATTTGTTATGCAACTTTTTCTTTTCATGTTCATATTTTGATGAATTAGATAACAAAAGTTATAGCCAAATCTAAGAAGTTGTCATCACTTGGCCGAAAAAACTATCAGTAGTTTAATCCCTACATATTTACGAAACACCAGTTGATTATGTAACATTTTTGTAAACATTCCCATGCCCTTATAATGCATTGTAATGATCACCTGTCTACTCACATCTCATTACATAGTTTATGGATGGCCCTAGGCATTCATTTAGGCAAGTAAGCAAATATTTACTACCGTTTATAGTTTCCTGATTTTACATTTTCTTGAAACATTCAATACCTTATACCGATGAGATAAAATTTTTTAGTCAAAAATACTTCACATCATTTTGTTTCTTATTCTTACAAATTAGTCTTACAAGATTTCTGATTGACAGAAATTCAAATATAACTACTGGTAATGTAATTGATTTATGAACTTTTTAAGTTCATTTCCAAATGCCCCATTTACATTCTGAAGATAGACTTAAAAAGGTTTAAAAATATTTAAGTTGTAATCAAACTTTGAACCTTTGATATAAAAATATTACTTTCTTGATTTAAGAATAAAAATTAATTAAAAATAATTAAATAGATGATTTCTTTAATAGCATATAAGATAGCTTCATAAAAAATTTTTTTTCAAAATCACAAAAATTATTTAATATATGAGAACTAAATATATTAAATTTAAAATTGAATGATGAAAGTAAAAGTATATTTTATTTACTTTAATATTTTTTAAATTTTCAATTGAATTTCTTACTTTTTTATTTCTGCGTGTAGCTGGAACAAAAGTATTTAAACAAGACATCCACGTTACTTTATTTTTAAACTGTAAATAAAAAATATTATGAAAAATTCTTTTAAAACATTAAATTAATTAACAATAAATATCAAAATATATACTTATATATACAGTACGGTAGCTACAAGTCAAGTTTTGCATATTAATGAAAAAAATTCTACATAAAAGTATCAGTTAAGATCAAATATTATTGCATTTTTTTTTTTGTATAAATTTATTCTAGTACAAATTGAATGGAGCAATTTAATTTCTAAATTAACAAATGAACTGCTGGATTATAAATTAGGCCATAATAAGGCTAATTCAATGATTAGATAAAAAGCAATTTAACTGTAGGCAGATGTTAGGCCACCATTTATGATAAATTTAATAATCAGAAACAAATTTGACAGTTTGGCATACTAATTGAAATGAGTTGATGTTTGTGTTCTAAGATACCAATATTACAATTCTGTTTCATTCTAGTGCTGAATTTTTAATAGCTTATTTGATGTGTGGTGCTATGCGACTATTGTAAATATTTTATCTTGCTTTGTGTTTTTTTTTTGGTTTGTTTTTTTTTTGTATTGGTGTTGTGTTAGCCGTGTTGGGTTTTTGATTATATCATGTGTGATCTTATTTTTGTCACATTTCACCAGTTGTTAGGTCATGCATTACACGTTGCCTATTGGCCAACCCTGTAAACAACGTTACAGGAAAAATCCCCGGATGGGGGAACTATAAAATGGAGTGTATGACCTGAGCAAGGATTTTTTTTCTTGGCGATTTTAGATGTTCGGACAGAAATCAAGTTGAATCTGAGTTATCATCAGGTGAAGATTGGACCTAGTTTGCCCTTCAAAAAAGTAATCAAATTCCATTGAATGCTAATCACTGAGTACCAACGGTAAGGCCAAGGTATTTTAAAAGAAATGCATGAAGAGGACTAAACAAATTAAGAAGACTTAATAAAATATGATTGGGATTTTGTCTAAGAGCACGTGGTGGATGTATACGATATTCTGAGAAAGAACAGTATGAAAGGTGATAGGAGGCATTACTCGTAGGTATATCCTCAAAGGGAATGAAAAGAAGTGAGAAGAAGGTAGACGTAAGTGAAAGGTATTTGGCAGGTGCCGAAAGGGGGTGAAGACAGTAGGAAGAGAAAATAAGAGGAAGAGGGAGGTCATGAGCCGCATCACGTAGTTATTTTAAAACCACAAAATTACAAGATATAAAAACATAACAAAATAATGTACATTTGGAATGTAAGGCGGCAGCAGTATTTAAATTCCCACTTGGAATAGACACAGCTGCTTAAAAATGCTAACAAACAATTGTACACAAAGAGCAAACAACTCAATTCGCGTGTTAAAAAGAACCAGCTACCTGCTGGTGTTGAGTTCTAGCGCCTTTGTGGCTGAAACAAAAGCAGTGAGTTCATTGTAGATGTTTTTATTTTCAATTAAAACACTAGTGTCGCACGGCCAGGCAATGCATTCTTGAAGAACAGCTTGGATCAGTTTGTTCCTCTGTTGTTGAAATTTCTTGCATTCGTATATCAAGTGTTTGTTATCCTGATTAGAGGTGCCATCACATTCACAAGTAGGAGTAATGCTATGGCCAAACCTATAGAGATAGGCCTTAAAGTTCCTGTGGTTTGTCAATAATTGTGTTGTAATATAGTCTATTTTAATGTGTTGAAGTTGGCTCCTTTGTTTAATATTTGGCAGAAAGCAATATGTAGCTCTTCCAGTTGTTTCCTCTTCCCAGATCCTTTGCCACATTGAGTACATTGTCTGATGAATAACATTTTTAATGTTTTTGGTGGAGATCTCAAGGATAACCGGCTCTATGTCTTTAATTGCGGCTTCTTTAGCAAGGCGATCTGCCTCCTCATTTCCTGTATTACCAACATGAGCACGCGTCCACTGGAGCGTAATGTTACTTCTGGTAGTCGCCAGTTCCTTAGATATTTGCCGGTGAAGATCGTTTTTTTGGTTGCCGTTAATGATACTGAGAAGTGCTGCCCTACTGTCTGAACATATGCAGATATGTTTTCCTTTTAGATAGTTTATTTTGTTAGTATACTGAAGAGCTTTAAGTATTCCATAAAGTTCGGCTTGATACCCTGTGCTAAGTTTATGAAGTTTGAATTCCTCTTGCCATATAAAGAGATTTTTCTTGACATTAAGGTGCACTATGCCTGCTCCCACTCCATTGTTTTGTTTAGATCCATCAGTGTATAATTTATGAGTCGTGCTGTTATTTGGGTTCTGTTCTTCCAAATTAAAGTTGGGAAAACAGGCTGGATGTAATTGTGGTTGAAATCTGCATTTGTTTGAAAATTTTATGGTAGATGTAAAGAAGTGATCAACTTCTAAGTTGGGAAGAATTCCTATTTCAAAATAAGTTTGGATTTCCTTTTCTTTATCTTCAGAAATTTTTAGATTGCTTAACTTCCAAGAAGCCATCAAGGCCTTAGCCTTTAACTGTATTGGTGGGATATCTGCAATTACTTGAAGAGCCGATGTTGGGGCTGTCCGATAAGCACCTGTTATCCTGAGTAAGCTAATTCTTTGAATTTTTTGTAATGCTCTTTTATTATGGATTTTTGTAGCTGCCTGTCTTCAGATTTGTGCTCCATATAGTAAAATCGGTTCTATTACCTGCCTATAGATGTTTATTAATGTATGACTGTTCATGCCCCATTTTTTTCCTGTAAGATAGCACAATAAGTTGGCCATTTTTCCAGCTTTTTCGCAGGCATAGTCAATGTGCGTTTTCCATTTAAGCCCTTGATCAAAATAAATGCCAAGATATTTAAGATTTCTTGTATGAGAAATCCTTTCATTATTTATTTTAAGGCTAGGGGCTTTTTGTAGTTGATGACCCTTCGAAAGTAACATACACTCAGATTTTTTGATATTTATAGTCAATTTATTGTCTATACTCCATTTGTATATGCTGTCCAGCAGTTTGTTCGCCTCCACTTGCAGTTTTTCACTGTTGTTCCCCGCAAGTAGTGCCAGCGTGTCATCGGCGAACCCTTGTATTNAAAATAACATACACTCAGATTTTTTAATATTTATAGTCAATTTATTGTCTATACTCCATTTGTATATGCTGTCCAGCAGTTTGTTCGCCTCCACTTGCAGTTTTTCACTGTTGTTCCCCGCAAGTAGTGCCAGCGTGTCATCGGCTAACCCTTGTATTGTCCATGGTGCCAGAATGTTAGTAGGATTGATGTGCAACAACTCATCGTACATGATATTCCATAACCCAGGTCCCAATCGGGACCCCTGTGGGCAGCCGCAGTTAATTCTGAGAAAGAAGCTTGATAACTAGAAAGGCCCCTGTTCTGTGTCAGGATTATTGTGTTACATGTGTCGTTTAATCCTGTAAATATTGTAGTTTTTCTAAGCTTACTTTCGTGCGATATATTCGTTTGATTTGTCGGAAAGACCGAGAAATTGTAATCAATTAAATGTGGCATCTAACCCTTGTACTTCATAGCATTCAGTTATCTGATACCTGGGGTGTACATAAATAAATGTGTTACCAATTTTGTTCTGATTATCTTGTGAAGTCCTCATTTTTCTACTCCTCATATAAACATAATATACCTTGGTATACTAATCGTCTCCACAGATGAAATGAAACTAATCTATCTGTTCCTAACAATTACTTTCGTGTAGATTTATTCAATTACATTCTATATCATTTTAAAGTTAAAATTATAATAAATTACAAAAATAAAAAACTTTTAATAATTTATAAGCAATTAACTCTTGCCCAATATGTTCCATATTTGTCATGCATTTAAAAATTTAATCACAGCACATTACTTAAATTACATTCCAAATTATTTAGATTTATTTAAATGACATTAGTTTTATAAAAATAATTTAATTCTTTTTCTAATCAGTTTCATCTAATCAAGAATAATAGTTTCAATAATTATTTCATTTTTTAATTAAAATTTTAATGAAAATAATTAAAATAAATTGAATTATGAGAAATATTTAATGTTAAATTTAGCTAAAAGTTTCAAAATTCAAATCATCTAGCTAGCATACAATCAATATTTTTTTGGAATAAAACACATTTATCCAGTTATAGCTTTATATAAACTAATAGCTTTATAACTAAATTCATTTACTAGAACTGAACCATTGTTTTCAAATTATTTGATTGTTTACTTTATATTTCATTAAATAACTGAATTTTTTATTGAAAAAAGTATGACATGTTAATTATGTTTGCCACACTTTTCATTAAAAATTCAGTTATTTTATGAAATAAAAATGTAAAATATCAAATAATTGAAAATAATGGCTCAGCTCAATTCTTTTATATATATTATCATCCTTGAATTTTCTACTTTCTTTTTATTTGCTATCCATTCCTTGAGAGTGACTTTGCATGATTAATTGCTTTTATCTTTAAGCATTAATGAAAAGACCCTTATTCATAATAAAAATAAGTAAAAATAATAGAGAAAAATCATTGATGAAGGAGAGATATACTATAGAAGGAAAATAAATTAAGAAACATCTTTAAGTTTTATTTAAAGCTGAATGAAGAGATGAAGATAATCTTGTAAAAAAAAAAAAAAAACTGTTAGAAAACTACATTGAAAAGCTTTGCAACAAGCATATGAATCATCATCATTATAAATTTGGGTATCAATATTAAAATTACAATGATCAATGCAATACTGACTCAAAGTCATATGGTGCCCTTGGGCCAATAAATGATGCAATTTACAAAAATTTTATTTCATTTTTTTTTAATTATTAATAAAACAATAAAACAAAAAATTAAAAATTTTCAAAACACAACTTATAATTCTTTATATTGCTCAAGACTAGTTGCATCACACCAAATTGATAATATACATGCGTATGTATTTACTGCATTTTATAATTTTATTTTTGTATCTTGTACCTACATTGTATAATATATTACTAGATTGAGAGAAAAATACTAATCAAATACCTAATAGATTAAATTATAATTTTGTAGGCTTTTGTGGTTGCAAAATT